TAATGTTTGGCCGGAGGATCCCCTTTGCGTCGTCAACATTTTCTCGCCGTGCACTTCGGCATCCCCTTAACTCGCCGGAGATTTATGGGGCACGTAGCTCATCACATGATGACACGCGATTGTTCGTACGCCACAGCCACGGCCGCGCCGTGAAAGACTCGATGACAATGCATGCGATGCGCCCCCGTTCGGTCTCGGTAAAAATCGAGATAATGTCCGCGCGTTTGTTTTTGCGTTCCGCCGCGTCCTCGGCGCGAACAGCCAGAGAGAGAGAGAGAGAGAGAGAGAAAGCGGAACGCTCGTAGCCGACAAATCTCCCGAGAGGATGATAGATTATATCGCGCCGGTTATATCGACTGTTATTACCCGAATTTAACGGAGCCCCCCAAAATGCCGCGCCATTCACTTGCCGAAGGTGGCCATTGTAACGGGAGATATACGGTGAGCGCGCTAATCCTGCCTCCTCGCCGGAGCGCGTTCGGGCTAATCTCGAATCTACCGCTCGTCCTGCCTGATCCTTGATCCGATACTTCGCGCGCGGAATTTATCGCGTGAATCTCCGGCGGCGTGTAATCGCCGAGTCGATAACCGGAAGCTGCTGCTACCCTCCTCGTCGAGCGTGCTTCATATGAGTTAAAATTGTACTCTGCTTAGTTTTTGAGCTCGCTGATTACAAATCTGAGGTCCAAATTCCAAAATTAATTTTCCAAGATGGCGGCCGCAAATATGAAAAATTGCGATAATCTGGAATCCGCCATCTTGGAAAATGAATTTTAGAATGTGGACCTCAGATTCGTAATCAGCGACCTCGAAAACTAATTAGAGTACAATTTTAGCTAATTTAATAAAAATTGTATGATCCGCCATCTTGAATCCGTCATCTTGGAAAATTAATTTTGGGATTCGGGCCTCAGATTCGTAATCAGCGAGTTCAAAAACCAATCAGAGTACAATTTTAGCTAATTTAATAAAAATTCTATGATCCGCCATCTTGGAGAATTATTATTTTTGGAATTTGCACCTCAGATTCGTAATCAACGACCCAAAAAACCCCCAAATCTTGATGAGCAAAAAATTCACGCATAGTTCGTGGGAAATGATTTTTTTTCCGTGAAAATGTATATTTTTCACACTTTATTTACAATAAGTGGACAACTTATGCAAAACATTTTTCAACCTTTCATGTATGTTCCCGTATCATGTAAGAAGCTAAGAAACGCGGAAGATCCGACAGGAACCCCTCGAATATGAAATATGCCACTATGCCTCAAAGGGTTAACGTACCGTTCGGACGTTGCGGCGTCAGAGCGACGATCAAACGGCGTACGTTGTAAAGTGTATCCGCGTGTATCGGATTTGCGAGGACAGTTGTGGCGTTTCGACAGGCGCGCAACGGCACAACTGTCCGCGTCGCGGCGTCATTTTCCACCGGTAAAACGTGCGTCCTCGTGGTGCGCGCGCGGCTCGTTACGGCAATATTGTCGGCGCTTCGTTTCTCACGTCATTCCCGCTTGGAGCTCGAGCGTGTTATGTTTGCGTCAGCTCGACGGTAGCCGCGGGATAAATAAGCGCAAGGGCCGGCAGGATTAAACGAAACTGTATCAGACCGCTCTCACGATACTACCCCGTCGGCCGCGAATTAATTACATGGCCGGTGATGAGTTATGACGATGGTATATACGGGGCGGTGTATCTGGACTCGCAGGATAAATTTCTCGTAAAAGGATAAGTAAGAAGTTCCTAGCAAGTACGTGTCCCTAAACGTTTCTGCTTTCTGAGATATATCTGCCGCAGTTTCTCTTGTTGCATACTAACAAGGTTATAAAGAAATAAAGAAACTTACTAGTCTGAATTTTGTTGGAATGAAGAGAAAAGAATATTTTTACTCAATAATAAAAATATTTCTTTGCAAAGCTCAATTAATATTGCCTTATAAGGACCCGTTAAATTTGTTACACATCTTGTAGGGCCTTTGTTTTTCTATCCGTACTAAGGTCCGATTAATGTTAGAGAAAAATAATCAGGCCTTTACCAGAGCCTTATTAATTTCTCTACTTGGGCTCGAATGGTGAAACGACGATGGGATATGCGCGTCATTATTATTTAGCGTGTCAATAATAAAGTGTGTCCCGTTATCTGTGTGTATTATTGTTTACTTTAATCAGGAAGAGAATGCGTCGTATGTTTCGTGTTGTTAAAAACTACGAACATTTGCCTTTCATAACTTTTTTTATACTCCATTTTCTTCTTCTATACACCTTGGATGTGAATTGTCCGTCAACGCGCGTACTGTTCATTTGATACTTTCAAACGTTTAATTGCATTCTGCATTATAAATTCTTTGATATTGACTTCAGCAACGACTGTCGGTGTGACTTGGCAGACTTAGAAAGTCTGCAATCCAGTTGGTGCATAGAAGTCTGCGAGTAACGTTGCGCATAATGGCGGCAGAATAGCGCGTCAATCGCATCAAATTTTTCTCTCAAAACTTGCACGGAAAGTTCAAACGCGAATGAATTGGTCAAAATCTACGGCAGAAATACTAAGAAAATTAAAATTTCGCTAAAATTAACGCTGCTTATACGTTGATTAATAAATAATAAAAAAGACAAAGTGATAACTACGTATTACAGAAATAGAGAAACATAATTAAGGTGAAGAGGTAGACAAAGCGCCAATTAATCATTATTAAAAACTATAACAGCTGTATTTCTCCAGCTTGATTTTAAGAGGTACTCCCATTTGAAATGATGATGAATAGATGATTTTCTCTTTCAACTATGAGGCATGCAGCTCTAAAGTTTCACGCAAATATTTGGCAATGTTTTAGCTATATACGGTAATTTTATTTTAATTATATTTTATTCATTAAATCGTGTTTTATACAAATAAGCAAGTAAAGATATATTATTGTAAACATCGTTCCAAATTTCTGCGAGCTCCTCGGGATTGTGAGCATCCATGATGTCAAGAGGAAATAGTAGTTTTTCAGTTTCACTCGCGACAAACGGCAAAAATGTATTAGCATTCTTAATCCACTCATTGCAACATATTTTCTTCCATCGTCGCCAGCTTCCGAAGGTTGTATCTCAGAAAACGAGTTTTCGCGGACATAGAATTTTTATTAAATTAGCTAAAATTGTACTCTGATGAGTTTTTGGGTTCGCTGATTACAAATCTGAGGTCCAAATTTCAAAATTAATTTTCCAAGAAGGCGGATTCAAGATGGCGGATCTCCACTACGATTTCTTTCACGATTTATTTTTCGACATAGAATCTATCCTGTAAGTTTCTCGATCAGACTGAAATACGTCTTGTGTAAGATCTAGTAATTGATTCTTTCCGATTTTCGACAATTTTCAATCTTCATTTAAAAATCGATAGAACAAGATTCATCAGTGAAATATTCTCCGTTGTTATCGATGATCTTACGCCATTTATTGGCCAGTTGCCGAAATCCCATCACGATAGAAACTTGCTGGCTTTCAGGCTGTAAAGTCATCGATGAAGTTTCGTGTGTCGTCAACTGTCGAAAAATGTGTATTAGACAGTGCGTGTTGCATCGACCGAAACAAGTGAAAATCTGATGGAGCCAAATCTGGAGAATCGCGTGTGGGAGAACTTTCCAGCTCAGGCGCAAGATGGTTTCCTTTGTGGCTTCTGCTGTATGCGGTTTAGCATTGTCGTGTAGCAAGATGACTTTACAGCTGTCTTGTCCAATAAATAGCCTTTTTCCTCAATTGCTTTTACCCAGCATCAAGAGCTTATTATACAGCACACTCTTCTGGTCCCACCTATAGAGATCCCACATATAGAGAAGAACTTTTTTCCCGAAACGTTTGGGTTTTGCTGTCGATGTTGTTGGTTGACCAGAGTCTACCTATGATTTTTTGTGTTTAGGATTTTCATACATAATTTTTCGCCACCGTTTACGATCTTGTGTAAAAAATCTTTTTTTTTGTTGTCTGGCAAGCAAGGTAACGCAAGGTAATGTCGTTAATCGGCGATCTTTGTTTTCAATGGTTAGCTCGTGTGGAACCTACTTGTTTTCTTTCTGTATCTTTCCCGTATGATGTAAACGATCGCAAATAGCTTTCTGGCTTACTCCCAGTTCTTCCGCAAGTTCTTATTGTGTCTGTGCCATGTTTTCATTCAGTAGATTTTTAGCGACTCTTCGTCTTCAAATTTTTTTGGCTGATGGACGAGTGATTGGTCGTGAAGATTCAAATCACCGCTTCGAAAACGTTCAAACCATTTCGGCTGCTTCGAAAGCGTTTTCGCTGAAATGAAATGCGAAATATATCGCGTATCGAATGTGTCTTTTGTAGATAGCAATCGTGAACATTACTGATTATTGAGGTTATGCGCATCAAACGCTAAACCATGTATCATTTCGAAAAGTTAAATGGCTACACTTTCAAACTGCAAAAGAGCGGAAGAATACTTTAGGTTCTAAATTTTGCTCTGAGCTATGTAAATTTTATTGGAAAGAATTAACTATTTATTTATTTATTTGTTCTACCAGACTTAGTTCTACTAGAATCAGTACTACTAGAGACCTCATAGTTTTTAGTACAGTTGACTCCGGATTTCACCTTTTTTAAAATGCGTTTACAACGTATCTTAAAATCGAAGAAATTCGAGTTGCGTAATTTTTCCTATATCCTGATTGCCATAAGAGAGGAGGACGATAATGATGAGCCTTCCGCGAGAAATTCCGCACCAGCAGCAGTCTTGCGCAAGCTCGTGCTACGAGCTTTCTAATGAAGGAGCCGGAACTTGACTCGTCTCGTCCGTGTGTTGGTCCGAGGTTTGCCCTATATTGCAAACAAACGTCCGTATACGCGAGCATTATCGTGAGCTTATCGACGTCCGTTAAAGCGTAATTAGCGATAATGAACTAATGGTACCTCACCATGAATAATGAGGCTCTCGATAAACGATCGATTGCACTGTGATGATCCGTCGTAATAACATCATGTATGTTGTTTGTTTTGCAGCACTGGCTGGACCTAGCGAAAACAGCGATAAAGCAGGTGAAAGGTTGGTATTCTGTTCGAAACTCAACAAGTTACACCTTCGTGTTTGAGGAGTTACAACGCGGATTTGCTTCTCGATGACGATAAAACGAGGGGATATATGCGCGACACGACGACGGTCGAATCGTACGTCGACAAGGAGAAACTGAGAAGAGAAGAACAGAGTCTCAGGGTCGTCGCGTAAATTTCGTTGCACAAACCGCAATCGTTAGGGGAAAAGAAAAAGAAAAGGAATCTCCTCAAATCTGATAAAGAATCGAGTCGAACCAGAATCCAAGTTGGAGGAACTTGAATGAAAAAAAAAATTTGTGTCAAACGGTCAAAGGTTAACGAAACCGGAACGTAGCTGTGCAAGCGATCTTTCAAACACCAAAGTGTTGATGCAACTGCGTGACATGAGCGTGCGTAATTGTCCGTGAGATTGCAGCCGCGGTGGAAGCTTAAATAAATTGGACAATGAACGATTAATAATGCGTCGGGCGAGCTTTGCGGCCGTTGCGCTAAATCTCGAGCCCGTTCCGCGTAAATCAGCCTATAGGGTGTCTTAAAAATACCGGAAGCCCCGGATAACTTCGCAGGATCAAGTTTTCATGAAAAACTTTAAATACAAAAGTTGTAGAAAATCGAGTAACGGACTTGATGGTGACCTTGAATTTGACCTTGACCATGACCTGTTAACTTAGTGACTTTTGGAGATTTCAAAATCATCAAATTAACAAAAATCAGGGCACTATTGTAACAATATATTCTTGAGACTAAATACAGCAAGAAGGTCTAGTACCACTTTTTCTTCTGACAAATAGTTAGCGAGATGTCGTAAGTTAAATATTGAAAAAGTTTTACCAAGTTTTCCTCAAATATCTCAAAAAATATTAGGCAAATAAAAAAATGTTTTAGACAAAAATTGTTCGACAAAAGTTGTTTGACAAATGTTCAAATTAATTGGTAGAAAAAAACAGTGTAATAAAGAATAAGGGTTCCCATTTAAAAAACGCAAGTTGACCTCCAAATGACCTTGAAGGTCATGGCCAAGGTCAAGTTCAAGTCCGTAGTACCTGATTTCCTACAACTTTGGTATTCAAAGTTTTTCATGAAAACTTGATCCTGCAAAGTTATTCGGGGGTTCTGGTATTTTTAAGACACCCTGTACGAAAGAAACATGAAAATGTCGTAAAATTAAGGGCGGTTCTCAATACACAGCCAGTGTGAAAGACCGCGGCACCTTTTACCTCGCTGAACTCCAGAAGGCGCGCGGACGGCGCGTCCGAGAGGTGAATTAGTAATCCGGATATTAAGTATATATCTCGTTGCAAAGGAAAGAAAACATTGCAACGCTTTTTTTCCCCGACTGACCGCAGGTCATCGATATTGTAAACTCGTTTAACTCGATTCGAGCTGTTTCGACGGATCTTTCTCTACGGCGTATCGATATCGCCTGTACTTTCCATCCTTGAGTCAACATTCTCCGTTACTCGTGAAAGCGACGGAAGCTATTATACGGCATATTCAACCGGCAAATCAACATTTTAAATATAAAAATCTCCTACTAGATGTCAGCTCGTTCGGCGAATTTCATTGAAAAAGTAAAAAGTGTTGCAACTTCTCGCTTGACCGACCATACGGACCTGAGATTAAATTTGTTCAGCTCGATTCCGGCTGCTTCTCGACAGATCTTTTTTCCTTTTTTCTCCTCGCAGTGTACAGGTGCTGCTTGTAATTGCCGTCTTTGAGATAAAACTTTTCGTTGCTCGTGAAGTCATACAGCGCATGTCTGAGAGGGAAATTAATATTCTGAGAATTAAACACTGAATTTTCTCTCTTATTGGATACGGATTTATCGCGGATCTCATAGAGATGAAAATGTGCTGCAACTTTCCTTCCATTCACTGTACAATCCAGAAATTGAGCTTGTCTAACTCGATTTAAAAACTGCTTCAACTTACTCTTTCTTTTATAGTGTATAGACATTAGGTAACCAAGAAAGTTCGTGCTGTTTTAATCAATAGAGATGAATAATACATTTCCGTAATAATTAATTTCCGTAAGTGTTACACGCCGGTAAATTCTCTGTGAAATAAGCCTTTTGTTTAAGCATACATAACCATACTTTTAATTGATTGTGTGCGCATGTGCAGCTTGTCGATGACAAAACCTAGAAGCGGCACGGACTTTCTCGGTTACCTATAATATCACTTATTTCCATGTTTAAGACAAAATTCCTCATTACTTGTGAAAAGGCATATTTTAATTAACATTAAAATTTATTACCAAATTAATATTATGAGAATTAAATATATATATTAATTTATATACAGGACGTACGAAAGGCACCGGGACGGCGAAATATCTCGAAAACTACGTATTTCAGAAGAAAATGTTTCAGACAAAAGTTGTATGGTTTCAAGGAGAACATAAAACAACTATATCATTTTGTTTATAGATGGCGCTACTTTCGAAATATTGATTACTAAAAATTACTCAAAAAATTACCTAAAAAATAGTATTAGATTTTTTAATTCTATTTCATTACTAAAAATTATTTAAAAAATAATACTTTTTTACTCTGTTTGGTCTCTTTCTTTTAATAATTTTATCGACGCGCTTTGTAGTTTTGCGAGGTCTACCGTTTCGTGGTTTATCAGCTAGAGAGTTCGTCAACTTATATTTAGCAATAATCCTATTTACAGTACTTTTATCAATTAATAAGCAATTAGCACTTTCGCGAGAAACCTTTTCTCGTTGAGAAAGATTAATCACGGCTTTGCGTAACTGAAAGCTTGTATGTTTCGGCATTGCGGTAAACAACAGACTGAAACTTAGTTAAAGCAAATATTTACGAAGGAGTCTCATAAGAAACGTAAATAAACCGGGCTCATAAAGTCACAATAAGAATACGGCTCGATACTTTTGAACACATGTAAATATGATATGACTAAATAAGATTAGAAACTATGTAATTTCAAAATTTTGTAACTGTACTATTATTTGTAAGAATGTTATGTCAACTATTTTATATAATTAATTTTTAGAGCAAATCAATATATTGTCATGTATCTTAAAAAGACACTATGGCTCGAAACTTTTGCACGCCACTGTACATGTAGTTGTTTTATGTCCTCCTTGAAACCATACAACTTTTGTCTGAAACATCTTGTTCTAAAATGTTTAGCTCCCGAGATATTGCCCGGTACTTTTTACACACTTTGTATAGACATAATACGTATTAAGCATGACGCGAATTAAACACAGAATTCTCCTATTGGAGATACCGCGGATATGCGCCGCGAATCTCATGGAAGAGAAAAGAAGGGACAAAGCTGCGCAACCTTTCCGTCTGACTGCACGAGCCCGGAATTCAGCTGGTTAAACTGCATTTGAGTTCTTTCGACGGATCCTTTCAGTCACGCTGCAGTCAGGCGTCATCTGCGATTTTCGCATTTGGGACAAAACTCCTCTTCTCGACCGCGCTTGCACGGCCCGGCATACAAATGGCGCGGCGCGCCTCCAGCAAGACCAACTCTAACTAGCGCGGCGGCTGTAGCGTTTCAATCTCCCCGGGCCGCGCTCATCAGCGCGCGGCACGCAATTAACGACGCGCGGCGACGGATGTAGTTGTAATACGAAACACACAAATCAAGCGGCGCGCGCAGATATCTCATTACATCCGCGAGCGCGACTCCGTCCGCGCCATCGAACGTCACGGCGCTCGACCGGCGAGGGGAAATTCTATTCACCGAGCCTCCGTCTGCGCGAGTCGTTCTACAGCAGGGTTTCCCAACCTTTTCTGTGTTTCGCACCCCTAAAAATTTATTAACGAACCTTCGCACCCCTTACAAGAAAGAAATTATTCATGGTATGTTTCATGGTAAAAGTTAATTGTTAGGGTTCTAAGGTGAGAAGTTAAAGATCAAAAAAGATATTCAATAATAATTTTAATAATGTAAAATATATAATTTTAACATATATAACATTCTTTTTTAATCTGATGGTGTCGATTTTTTTTTTTTTTTTTACATTGATGGGAGTCATTGCATCGTGTTTTTTTGATAATATTGGTGAAAAATAAAAAAAAAAAAAAAAAAAATAAAAAAAAAATTTTTTATTAAAAATATATAAATATACATATATATATTAAATATACTCCTGTTTTTTCGTTGTCGTTTCTGCGGTTCATATTTCGGGTCTCGATGGTCCGATCAGAGCGAATTTTAGCTAGAAATCTTGAGGAAGCTTATTATTATCCGGTGAGCTACTACAAAAAAGAATCGAACAAAATTAACAAAATGGCAGCTATTATTAGGAAAAAATCCACATTTTTCAGTTCGTTTACAATAAAAAAATTAATATTTCGAAATGAAATATTTTGACGTAATTGTCCATGGTTCATCTGAGAGCCAGATGAACAAATATTATTGCTTTAAAATTTCAAATCGATACGAAGCTCAGTTTCGGAGAAATCATTGCAAAAAGTTGAACAATAAAATTTCGAGGAAAATGCGTTTAAAATTGAAGTGGACGTATATTTATATGAGTATCTGTTAATAAATACAATTTTTCTACTCTTCATATGTTATATAAATATATCTAAAATTTTCATTCTTGCACATTTATTCAGTTCGTCACAAAATATCAAAAACAAGCACGATTTTTCAGTAATCTGACTCTCCAGTCCCCTTAATGCCGGCTGGGACAGAAATTTCGCGTTGATTTCAATGTTATGAATTTTTATAAAAATGCTCGAAAATTTGAATCCAAAGTACATTACTAGTGGTTTTCGAAGTCACTCTTTCCGAATCCGCTGCGAGAATCATAAAAACGTGAATGTTTGTATTGGTTTGTAACGGTTTTTTTTTTCCCAAAAAATGCGATTTTTTCTCGTCAATTTTTTTTTAAATCATGGATTTCATCTTGATAAAAATGTTGAATATCACTGAAAAGTACTCCAATCGTGTCCTCGAGACTTGTACTTAAAATATATGTGGTTCTGCAATTTTTTGCAATTCAATAATTTCAACATGGCGACCATATGCATGCATCACAATAGATATCGCTGGATCCTTGGGAACTCGGTCGAATAACTCGTTATGAGTACATTTTTATGAAAAATTACCCAAAATAAAAGTTATCCTGTTGATCGAGTTCTTTCACGTGGTAGGCCCGAAATTTGGGTTCGATGTACTTTTTGGGCCTAACGGGGCCCAACGTTGATTTTTTGGTGCAGAACTTATATTTTTTATCACAGATTTGGAAAGTACAGGAAAATTTTACGTCCAGATATGTATTTTTGAAACTACAAGTCTCGAGGATACGATTGGAGTACTAGAATAATTTTACTCTCAACCCCAGAGGGTGCGAGCATCCCCGCTTGGACACCCCTGCTCTATAGCGAGTCGCTGATGTATAGCGCTTGTCGCGCATAGAACACATCAGGTAGTATCAGGTAGCGAACAGCTGCGACCAAGGCTTCGGCTTCGCCGTGTGTTCCTCTTTCCTCCCGCACTCAATTACGTCGGGTCGATGTCACATGAAAGTTTCAAGCAGTCGCGACCCGCTGGCCTATTCCCGTGGACTCGTCGGCCAGACCCTGAGCGAGCTTATCCGAAAAGGATCCGGGCTCTTTCGCTGTCACGGTGGAAACACTCGACCGTCGACGATCGCTCCCGCGCGCGACTTTTCCCGCAGATGCTTGCCTCCCCTCGTCTTTCTTCCCCCGAAGAGAGGAACGTCCTTACCGCGCTCGCACGGGGCAAGGGGATGGCGAGGGTTTCGCGGGGCGCGGGGGAATTCGCCCTCAGGTGGAGCTCGTCCGGCTCCTCGAGAGAGTCAGGTTGAAAAATATTCTCGCGTAGCGTGGAATGAGCGAATGCGAGCTCGACGACGTACCTGTTGATTTTCACGTTCACGAGACTCGCGACTTGTCGCGACTCTCCCTCCCTCGTATTTCACACGAGTCGTTTATTCGCGTTTTTGCAAGAAGCGCTTTTCCAGAGCGATGAAATCTCGGCCGATTCGATCGATTCCATTCGACGGCCGCGTGTTTTTTTTTTTTTTTTCAGGAAGGTCAACGCCAGGGGAGCGGCCGCTCTTATCGGCGAAGGCGAGCAGGCGTGATGATAGCGTATCGAATAAGATCACGACCTCGTGTATTATAGAAACGGCGTTACCGAGTGTAAAGGCCAATTTGCATCGCCATACACTCCCGCGAGCGTGTTACACATCTTCATTTGCGCGGCACGAAGTTTCCTCCCGCCGAAATCGGCAACAATCGATGATCCTCGTCTTAATGTCGGCTGCTTAATATCGGCGATATGGGCTCTTCCGAGCCCTCGTACGCATTATCGATTTATTATTTATTGATAATTCACGGGAACGGGAGCGGTACATCAAGCGGTAATCTGTCATCGTGACAGCTCCACGTTAAATGTCCGGAGACGAGTGTGTATGTGCGTGTGCGGCGATAAAATACTAACAACCTAATTACGAGGCGTGTTACGGCCGTTCCGTCGTCGGTCGTACAATCAACGGAGGAAAGCTTGCGACATTTCGTTTTTTTCTCGGGGATCTTCAGCACGCCGCCAGAACCGTTCGGTATCCAAGAGAGGAATTTGTCTCTAGGAAGGTTTTCTCACACTTAGTGTCTCCATTTAATTTCTTGTTTATAGTTTCTTACTTTATTTTTGATTTTTCCTTTTTCACTTAGTCTCTTTTATTTAATATTGAATTTTAACTCTTCGCTGCATAGTGGTCCTTTCGGAGGATCCACCTATCATCCAAGCTTGTTTCTCCAATAATTTAAATTTTCCACATATTTCTTCAGCATATTTGGTATTGTTGGACTACTGAAATGTTCCTTCAACTAGTACATCAACTGTTTTAGAATCATTTAAAACGAGTAATTAATAAGCGTATACTGAACAAAACTCTCGTTTTTAGAGAACGATACATTTATTTACATGAAATTTTAAACAATAACGTATACTTCAAAATGATTAGCTGAAGGTTTTTGGGGTCGCTAAATAGAAATCCAGTGTGAAAAATACAAAATTCAAAATGACGGACCTAATATGGCGGACGGAATTTTCAAAATCAGTCGAATCTGTTTGAAGCTTGTTACCTGGGAGGTTTTTGAAGTCGCTGAATACGAATCCGGTGTGAAAAATACAAAATTCAAAGTGACGGATCTCATTTGGCGAACATAATTATAGAAATGAAACAAGCTGACTGCGCTTGAGAACCGGGCAGCTTGACTGGCGTCAACCGAACCTTGTCGTATATATCCGTCATAGCTCTGGCATTTCGAATTTTCGATAACGAACTTGTAATTAGCAATCTCGAAAACCCTTAACCAATAAATTTCAAGCGAATTCGGCTGATTTTGAAAATTTCGTCCGCCATATTGAATCTTCCATTGTGAATTTTGTATTTTCCACACCGGATTTGTATTCGGCGACTCTACAAATCCCCGCGTAACAAGCTTCGCAAAATCATATTCGTTAGAAAAAAAAACGTGCGACAAAGGGTTAATTAACGATAAAAATTTATTTGCAATTTTTTTGCCATTTCCACATTTTTGCAAAACTTAATTGCGATTCAAATTTAACTGTCTGTCTTTAGGTTATCAAAAAACCACCCTCACTTAAATCCTTAAACTACCAATAATAATTTCCCGAAGTAGGAAGAAACAAATTCTTGGATTACTGAAAATCAAATTCTTAAATTACTGAGAAGGAGAGACAAATTCTTAGACGTGTTACCAAGAATTACCACACGACAAATTCTGAAATTACCAAAAGAGAAGTTCTCCCATCGGGCACGCGGATGCGTCGAGAGATTCGTTGATGAAACGGACTTCTCGGGTCCGCTGATCGCTTGCTTTTCTCACCTCCGAGGGTGATCCCGCGCTGAGACGATGAGGAACATTATCGCCGAGTATTTTGTGTACTCGATAACGCTCGTTTGCGAATACAACATTGTCCGATAAAAAGGAATGACTCCTTGAACAAGGAGCGCGCGCGCGAGCGCGTCTTTCTCACCGCGATATGTCGAAAGTTTAAACGCTTGCTCGTGTCCTCGTAAATTGATAAAGCGACAAAGAAGCCTCAGTAAAGCCGTAAATGTCGCTAATCTCTCGACATTTGTCCGCACGAGTCGTCGCCGCTGGCTCTCGTTAGCGTCGACCACCGCGCTCACCCTCGTCATCGTCGTCGTCGTCGTCGTCGTCGTCGTCGGGGGTGTCCTTTCGAGCGTGCTCCGCCCTGCGAATGTCCGTAATCGTACGATGTCCATTTCGTGGACGGTGTCGTGAGTATCGATTGTCGTTCCCGGAAAAAGAGAGGAAGGTAGATATATGCGTATCAGTCTCTCGCGAAACCGGTTATTGCGCATGTCGCCATCGGCACAGGAAGGGGAGGGGACGAGGAGGCTACGAGCTAAGATTGCAATTATAAAATTATACATGATTGCTTTTCCTCCGCAAGTCGCCTAATAGCACTGATAGCACCGCGCTATAAGCAGTAATAAGCAGCTCAATGCCGCGATAAGTAGCGCAACGATGACGACAATCATTCCTTGCGAGCGTCTAAAATGAAAACAAGAAATATGCAACCGCGGCATAATACGATGTGTCGCGTTCGAGGGGGCAAAATTATGAATTTAATGAGCCTGGATAAAAAAGAACGGAAAGGACGTCCGTTGATATTTAACCTGTTGATATTGAAGCAATAATGGCGGAAAGGAGGGGTGTGGAGGTGATATGTGTTGTATACATTATTTTATGGAAAATAAAATCGATTGTTAAGAAGGGAAGCTTTCGGGTGTACAATCAGTAGAAAAGCTAAGCAAGTTATTCGTTAGATTTAATTATTATAAGCGTTATTTCATTAAAAGCTAAATTTCGAGGAGTGAAATATCCTCTAAATGATCCTTCTAAATGAAAATATGAATTCTGCTAATATGTTTCGATCTTAATTCAAGTTTTTTTGACTATCGTGATAAGTAATCGAATTATAACGTATTTTTCGAGTAAATTGATTAGGATTGATTATCAGAAAAGTTCTCAGATATGCAACCGAAGAAAATTGATTGAATAAGAGTCAACGCGAGTTATACCGTTGAATTAATCGAGAACGTCGTTTTGAGAGTTAAATGTCAGAAGGTTAAATGTACATGTTTCATCCTTAATCCGGATCCTCTGATTTTCACTGATCATAATAGAATGTGACATATTTTTGCAAAGAATGTAACATATATTTTTTCAAGAATATCGATTAAAGCCAATTATTAGAAAAGCTCAGGGTCAACAAAAGTTACTCAACTAGATTTATTAAAATTATAAGTCACAAGTTATTGAAATTATTAATTACAAGCATTGTTAAAATTATAAATTATAAATTATAATAATAGTAAATTATAAAGTCCACAAACTAGACTAATTAAAAATTATCTCCAAGAATTACCTTAAAGCCAGATGTTATTCCGTCCACACATTCGCGATCCTAACAAACTCGCATCCTTCTTAACGGTCGTAACGGGAGTAAAAGTTGCAGCAACATTTCCTGACGACGATCGTTAGAGCTGACGGTGGAGAGCGCCGATGAGCAGATAAAAAGGAAAAGAGAGGAAAAGAGCAGAAACGATTTGCACGGTTGGAAGTTCTTGACGCGAACTCGGGCCGTCGCGCCGCGAGTTTAGCATGACAGGCGGGCGCATGTGTGTGTCTGTGCGTGTGTGTGTGACACGTACAAGTACTCCTCGCGCACGTAGGCGAAGACAGCTTTGTCCGCGCGAGAGCGCCGAAAAATCCAGCCACCACTCACCGCGACTGTGTTCCAGACATGGACCCGATTCTGTTTAGTTTCCGCGTGAAATTCTACCCGCCCGATCCTCTGCGGCTGAAGGAGGAGATCACCAGGTATCAGGTTTACCAGCAGCTTAAGAGGGACCTCCTTCACGGACGTTTGTACTGCAGTCCCGGCGAGGCAGCGCTGCTGGCGGCGTGCATCATGCAGAGTAAGCTCGCGCGGTTACTCCTTCGCTCGTTGTGTCCATCGCCACAGACTTCTATATTATACTACTAGACCGATAACTGGTCTCTTTAACACTCCCCCTAAAAGTATGTATTAAAATTTCGCGCATGCGCACTGCAAGGTCTCGAAAGGAATACAACTGCACCGTACGGGGGCATTTTTACACCAGAAAATGTTAATATTTCTCCAATATTTAATATTTCCTCTTGCAATGTCACATTCAATATTTATTCAACATATATAGAGTACTAACGGAATCTTGTAGTTGCGCATGCACGCACGATTTTATATTTTACATAAGGGTCATTTTTATACATGGAAACCATACAATGGAAGTTCTCAGTCTAGCTTATATATAAAAGTCTGTGCCCATCGGCGACTCCCTCGATCTCGCCGGAGTCTTGATGCGTTTCCCATGCCAAAGGCCATAACCTCGTAGCACCGGTGCCAGCACCAGCGCCATCTGCGTCGCGGCAGCTTCTCAGCGGAATCGCGGATCGTCACCGAGGCGCGGCCTGGAAGGCGACCTTTCCGCCAGTCGATGCACTCGCGTTCTCCCGCGTAAATACGACTCCAGCCTGGCGCGACCTTTCACCTCCTCCGTCGTGTGGTCTCGTTATTGGCAACTTTTCACGCGCCAAACGCAGCGACTCGTGGCCGATGATCGTGACTCGTCATATCGAAACTTCGGTCGTCGACCGTCAATCCTCGGACCGTTCACCTTTCTTTACGGGCCGTATCGTGACCGCAGCGACAGGGAAACGGCGTTCCCCCTCGCTGATTCTCCGCTCTGGGTCTTCCTGTGTTAATAATGTTGATCCCTCGCGAGACGTTCTGCGTCGGGCGGAGCGTCGGAGAACGGTAATCGCGTAATGTTTTCCTTCCGCGTTTGATTGCAAGGCGGACCGCTTTTTATGTGGAATTCTCGGTCGCGCGCCTCGCGAAATAGTTTGTTTTCTTGCATGGATTCTCCTCTTCGTCTTCCAGCGAAGGGACGAGGAACTATGTCGCGGATCGGGCGATTCCGCTTTCAAATAATCGTTCTTGTGATGTCTTGAGCGGTTGCTAGGCGATTGATTCTCATTAGCTGTCGAAGCGGCGGCAGATAGGAGTCGAGTCGAGCCACCTAAGCTGCTTGACATCTGTAGATTCTGGAGGATCAATTGGAGATTTAATTTATGCGGGAACTGGGATCTCCTACATTTAGCGCCTCGAAATGGCGGAACACACCCGGTATGACACTTGTAGGTCCTTAAGAGGACCTCTCGGCAAAGCTGCAGGTTAAATACTGTCAAAAGGGCTTGACATAAGCTTCAGAATATCCATTTCGCATGAACTCAAACGTAAAACGGAATACCGAAGCTGGACGAGAATCCCGACTCGGGAGCCAAATTTTTTGTTCGATCGAGATGACGGAGACGCGACGCTGGCGAAAAACAAAAACATCCCCCCAAAAACGAAAACATCGAAGAATGTTTCGACTCCTGCTGGATCGATTCCTATTGTCTCTGCCGCCATTTAGACGGATAGTGAGAGAATCAGCCTTTAACACGCTCACCATCGCGCTGATTTCCGCCGATCATTTCGATGCTCAGCTCAACTTTGCCAAAGACGCGGCAGATGAGTGCAATTCGTGATGCACATATTTCCACCGATTATATTTAGGCATATTTAAGCACATTATGTTTAAGTATATTTAACTTGTCGCATACACGCAATTGCTTATATTCTGCATGTAAATCAGTATTACACACTAGTGAGATTACCATCGGTGTTAGTTAGTATAATTAGTTTATTAGCACTTCTACGCTGTACCCATTATTTCGTGCACACCAATCGACGGCTGTCGTTGCGCAAGTATAATCGTATCGCGAAATAGCTGCGCGAAGGCAAGTCGACAAGTTGTCGATAATGTCGTGTTCGGAATACAGTCTCCCCGGTTAGTATCCAAATTTACGAACACCATAAGGCTTCTGGGGCTCCTCGCCATGACTTTCGACCTAACCTAACCTTGGTGACGTCAGGAGCGAGAATACGTATGCCGAAAATTCTGTCGTGTACCATTTCCAAATAAAAAGGATACTTCGAGTCTCTTATTTGCAAAATGCTCCGAACAGCTTCTCGCTGAAAGATCGATCAACAGCCGTAAAATGACTGCAATATGAGGCTAATCGCATGAAATGATTGCGCATGCGCATGTTGCAGTCATTTTATGATTGTCGATCGACTTTCGTGGGAGAAGCTCAGTGCTCGGGACATTTCACAAGTATCGTATGTTCCAGCGACCCGAAGTATTCTTTCGTACAAGTGTCTTTTCCATTGTAAATGGCGCGCAAAAATTTTCAGCGTGTCATTTCCCGCCTTTGACGTCACTGCGGCCAATACGGCCGCGGCGAGCACCCAGAAGCCTTTTTAAAGTCACGGAGTATTTTTCTTAACAAGATCACATATTTTTCTCTGCGTCGATCTCGAAAAGTGGATACTTAGTATTTTATATTTTGTATTTCGTTTCGGCGTTCATTCCGACGCGCATAGAGACTGAATATTTCGCAAAATAATCCACTTTCCCTGACAGCGTAATATATACTTTCATGTATTGAAGGGAAGGAGAATTAACCTTTTGTTGCACGTCTTTTCTAATGAATATAATTTTGTGAAACTTGTTACTTGGGAGTTTTTAGGGTCGCTGAATATAAATCCAGTGTAAAAAGTACAAAATTCGAAATGGCGGATCCAATATGGCGGGCTAAATTTTCAAAATCAGCCGAATTCATTTGAAATTTGTTACTTAAGGGTGGTATTCGCGGATGGTAATTACAAATTCGTTATCGGAAATTCGAAATGCCGGAACTGTGACGGATATTACTGTGATCAAAAAGTATCCGAACTTTATTTTTTTTAAATCGCGGATAAATTGTAAATCAAATCCGATTGCTTTCTTAAGTTGGTCCTTCACATTTGGTGAAAAAAAAAATGGCGTTCCTTCAAGTCGTTTGAAAGTGGCAGTTGTTTATGTCAGTGAAGATTGTTGCGCACGGCGATTTTTACAAAGGTCGAAAAATATGGTGCAAAGAATTTGTTTGAAATTTTGTGTTGCGAACGAAATTTCGTTCACAAACGCAAAATGTTGCAAAAAGCTTATGGCGATGATTGCTTATCGAAAACAAGTACGTTTGAGTGGTTTAAGAAGTTTCAACAAGAACGAGAATCCGTTGAAGACGATCCACACTCTGGAAGACCATCAACGTCAACGGATGACGCTCACATTGAGAAAGTGAAGGAATTGGTTCTCCAAAATCGTCGATTGACTGTGCGAGAGATAGCGGATGAAATTGGAATGTCATTTGGATCGTGCCAGCACACAATCCGTAAGAAATGACCGGAATTGTGGGAAAACAACTCGTGGATTTTGCATCACGACAACGCACCATCGCATACCTCGACACTTGTGCGTGAATTTCTGACAAAAAACTCAACGGATGTCGCTCCGCGAGCACCGTATTCACCAGACATGGCCCCCTGCGATTTTTTCCTGTTCCCCCTACTGAAAAAACCAGTTCACGGACAGCAGATCGAATCGATTGAGGACATAAAAAAATTCGCTGCGTGAATTGAAGGCCATACCGTTTGCCGCGTATGAGCGATGTTTCCAGGACTGGATCAAACGCAGGCATATTTTTTGTATTTTTAAGATATTTTTTGATCACAGTAGTATATGCGGCAAAGTTTAACACCGGTCAGGTTACCCGGTTCTCAAGCGCAGTCAACTTGTTTCATTTCTATAATCATGTTCGCCAAATGAGATCCGTCATTTTGAATTTTGTATTTTTCACACCGGATTCGTATTCAGCGACTTCAAAAACCTCCCAGATAACAAGTTTCAAGCGAATTCGACTGATTTAAAAAATTCCGTCCGTCATTTTGAATTTTGTATTTTTCACACCGGATTTGTATTCAGCGAGCCCAAAAAGCCCCAGATAATGATTTTGAAATGTACGTTACTTAAAATTTCACGTAGAAACGAATTTATTCTTTAAAAACGACAGTTCTGTTCAGTATATGCTTATTAATAATAAATTACTTATTTGAAATGACTCTAAAAGTTGATGTATTAGTTGGAGGAACATTTCAGTAGTCCAACAATACCAAAATATGGTAAAGAAATATGTGGAAAAATTTAATTATTGGATAAACAAGCTTGGAGATGATAACTGGCACTCTGGGAGGACCACTATGCAGCAAAGGGTTAATTAAAAGAGAGATGATAAATATACGAATACTTGGATATCAAAGATGATAGCCGGAAGACTATCGGGTAGCCTTGGGGCGGTGCTGGCGATATCCACCGCGGCGGATCCGATGCTCGGGATTGATATCGCTAATTTCTTCGCCACCCCCGTCATTTGTCCACGACACCTGGCTGATGCAGCGCTCGTTTCTCAGTCGCCGGTGATTTATTAAGCCAGCTAGCCCGACTAGCGATTGAGGAGCGACTGCCCATTTTTTCGAGCGTCTCGCGTCCCGCCGAAGCCGCTCAATAATTTATGTTGATCGCGCTTTACACCTTCCGAATTAGGAAGGTGTAATTAGACGTAAGCGGCGGTCCTACGAGATTAGGAGTCTGCGAGTCCCGAAATAATACGCGATCGTCTCGCGGCACGTCGGAATTTTCAGGTGAACTCGGGGATTACGATACCGAGGCTCACGAAGGGAATTACATCTCCGAGCACAAGTTGCTGCTGAAGCAAACCGAGACGATCGAGGAGAAGGCGATGGAGCTACATCAGACTCAGTTGAAAGGATTCACGCCGGAGCAGGCGGAAACCCACTTCCTTAGGTTAGCCTCGCAATTGGACACGTACGCGGTCGACCCACATCCGGTCAAGGTGAGTTTTATATTTTATCTCCGCGCTCCCCCCTCGGAGCTCTCTCTCTCTCTCTCTCTCTCTCTCTCCCCCTCTCTCTTTCTCACTCCCGCGTCGGAGCGAGAAATTCCGATCGCGCGACAGAAAGTGTCTCAAGCCGTTTAGGCGCGAACTCTCGTCTCGTTGGGTAAAGCCATTATCGGAAATGGCAATCCGTTAAAATAATGGACGTGCGTCGTCGCGGATTGCGAGACCCGCGATCGATGCTCGAACTCGCCGATGAATCACAGTGCGATAGATGTGCCGCGCACAGAAGTTGTGTATCTCGTTTCTACGTCGATAAGACGCCATAACCGGTTTATCTTCCTCGCGGGAACGGACGCGCGCTGATCCCATAAATCGGAGATTCGTTCTCCCTTTCATCCTCATTAACTCCCTGGCACGGCCATCAGTAAAAATCGCGCCGCGATCGGTCGTATAATTAGACGTTAATTAGTTGCCGTTTGGCTGCTGTATTCTCGAATTTAATCCTCCGCGCTGTAACTCGTGTTTAAACGTAGTAAATTAGACAGCCGCCTGTGCTTCAGCGCCATAAAAAAAGAGACATGGAGGTTGAGCGTGAATTACGATCGCGGGTATATAATGTCATATTTTTGTTCTATCAACGGTGAAATTTCTCCAAACGAAAATCAAACTCTCTGCTCGTCTCACTCCCGTAATTGCATCACCGCGCTGAGAATTAATGCGCCCCCAGCCATCAGGTGGGAATTTATTTATCCAATCGGGAATGGCGACTTGTAACTTGATGTTACTGTTACCCCCGCCTCTTCTTCTGCAAACAGTTGCGAAAAACACACACAGAGCACATCAATCTGAAAAAGCAACGTATCAGGATCAATTGCTATTTGATCTGTCCACAATACAGCAAACAATACAGCGCAGCGGACGAATGAAATATCGAAATATTGAAACATCAAACGTCCAATATTTCTGGGAATAGAGAGAGAGAGAGAGAGAGAGAGAGAGAGAGAGAGAGAGAGAGAGAGAGAGAGAGAGAGAGCGAGGAGGAGGAGCAGGAGGAGAGATTTGACATCCTTCCATTATCAACATTTATCAATGTAAGCCCACATGCGGCTGCATTACCGCGACTCAGCAGCCGCTATCGATTTCAATGTACCCCCTCCCCTCCCGCACCTCCTCGTGCGAATTTGCATTTAATTTGAAGTTTCAATTCGCGCGTGCCGCGCCTCCCATTCGCGAGCGCATTGATAAGAGAGAAAATGTTTTTGAGAGTGAATTTCGATTCTGCCTGTCATCCTGCAATATCGCGCGAATATCAAACGCAATTCATTGATATTCAAACGGAGCGGAACCCTTTCCTCGACGTGGACGTATCGGGACTGCTCTATCGACGGCTCGCGGAGGATTGGTTTCGGGACGCTTCTAAGACGTCACGTCATGCTGTCGATAAAACGTCGGACGCAAGGCTCTCTCGCGAGCGAGAGAACGCATGCGCGAACGGAACACTTGCCGTTTCGGCAATAAAAAAAAGATATCTGCACGGAAGAACACTTCAGATCGCAAGAACAAGAGCAAGCTTGTAAGATACTGCTCGCCTTTGAAGCAGCAGCCGTAAATGGCTGTAAGACTTAGTCATGCGCGTGCGCAATCATTCCGCGCGATTAACCTCATTTTACGGTCATTTTACGGCTGTTGATTGACCCTGAAGGGAGAAGGACATAATGTTCGGAGCTTTTTACAAGCAAGCTCTAGGAGATCCGAGGTATTCTTTTTATTTGGAAATGGCAGGCGAGAATTTTCTCAGCGTGCCACTTCTCTCGCCTTTGACGTCACTGACTCCAATATGGCGAGCATTGTGGAGTTTCAGGGCACCTCGGGACGTTTGGAGGTGCGCTCCTCTGTAAAACGTGTATGTGTGTACATTCAGTTCCGCGAGTGTCTCGCTGGCTGCGATAGGTCGATAATCGCTGACAATTTTGAAACACCGACTAAAATCGTCGTGAAGATAAACCGCGATAATCGACGTCTGTCGCAAAATGCGCGAGGTTGATTTCGTCGGGAAGCTAATCGCATTGTGTCTCTTTTCTAATTTACAGGGCGGTTTTAATTTATTTTCTCAAAAATAACCAAAGTGCTATTCAGCGGCACGAGTTTATTTTCGAAAATGTTAAGGAGTGACTGTGCACACAGATCTAACGAACGGACTCGTATTTTAACTGTTAACTTCCGAGACGTCGGCGAGCAACTGTTCGGCCTGTCGCCGTCGGCGACAGTGCGTCCGCATTTTTTGTGTTTCAGCATTGACCGCGGCTCTTTTTTGTAGTTTTATTTGAAGCTTGTTAATATATGTAAAATTTAGAGGAGGGAACACGCGTTTATACACATACATAAGATGAATATGGATCCGTATCGGCCGACTTATTAACCCTTTAACGCCCGACTTCTTTATAAGTGTTTTAAGAATAAAATTTGAGTTTTTTCGAACTGAGGCTATAAGTAGTGATAACCAAAAAGAAATATCAGAATTTTATATTGCTTTTTTTTATCGCTCGTTTCTTGTTTATTGGTAAATATGACTTGGATCCTAAAAGCATGTACGAAATGAGCAACTTGTACAGAGAATAATGAAGGGTAATCTATACGACATAACTCTGATAGTCAGCTTGACATTTTTCAGCTGCTGAAACTTTACTGCATTTGTGAGTGAAGTTTATCATTCAGAGCGTCAAGCTTACTATTTCAGAAGAATATCTTATAGATCACCATTTAGATAGTCAATCGTCCCTTCATTTTTCGCCGCATAAAAAACTGTAGGTCTCCAGGTTTCACGAAAATAGGTTGATTTCTCGATTTTTGTGTCCACCATATTGGATCCGCCATTTTGAATTTCTGTATTCTTTTAATTTCACATTTTGCACCTGAGAGAGCTTCCAAATGTATAAAATTATAACAGATACCAATCTATTCATTTATAGTGCACTTCTAGATGTCAGTAACAATGTTAACTATGCCTACTTGGAATTTGACGAAACATGTTATCATTAAAACTGAGCTGAAAACAGACTAAACCGAATCTACGTACTATCTATATACCATTGTTTAGAAGAAGAACTCACCTTTATAGTAGTGCAAAGAAAATAAAAATATCAAATCCTTTTTTGACTAAGTTATGAATTCTTAAATGCGTTTCTGATAACTGTAATAGGCGTTAAAGGGTTAAGGGAAACGCGGAGGCGATTGTCGCAAATGGAAGCACCGACCGGGACGTTCACCTCATTGATTGATTCGCAAAGCGAACAGCTTTCCGCGGCGGAAGTGACATTTTGACGGCTTTATCTTTCGCACGTCTTAACAAAGATGCTTATCTGCTCACGTGTAACACGCGATCAGCGGGAGAAGCGGAATGTGTCTCTGTTGCTTTCTTTGGATGCTCGTACTGCGAAAAGCAGTCTGCATCTGAGGACATTTTACCATTAAAAAAAAGTTTTTAGGCTTAACTAGCACAATCCGGCACAACTTTAAAAATTTCGAAAATGCAGACAGAAGTTTTTTGGCCTGCTACTTTTTGCCAATCTTTTTGCGAGCTGTGCAATGTTCGGAACATGTCTTAGTCGTTTCTTGTTGTACTCGGCTAGTACAACTCGCAGAATTCGAATATCTACCACGGTTCAGAAGCTATAGTGATCTGAAAATTATTCCTAAGATTATTCCCAAAAATTACTTTCTTCGAATGTTCGTTGACTGGCGAGAACCAGCCATCTGAGGATATTTTCCAATTAGAAAAAGTTGTTAGGTTTGACTAGCACAATCCGGCATAGCTTTCGAAATTTCGAACATGTGAACAAATTCTTTTGCGTCACCAATTTTTGCAAATTTTTGTTGCAATCTGAGTAGTTTCCGATACATTTCTAAGTGGCTTCTTAGTGTCCTCGATTAGCACAATTCAGCACAACTTGCAGACTTGCGATAAATGCATTGTAGAAAAAGTTATTTGTTAATTTATATTTTAACTTTAACATTTTTTCTCTACTGAACGGAAGGAGATATCTAGTTTCTTTAAACGGCACAATGTGGCATAAATTAGTAGGAATTTACAAGCAAAAATTAAGAGGTCACCATTTGATCGAGTTTCAAGGCGGCACGAACGTTTCTTTTCTTGCCTTGTTTGCCCGCAACGCTCGAAACGCAGCCCACGAATTTCGGAACGTGACTCCAGCGGGATTGTTTCCGATTTGTTTCCACAAAATTATTTCCGCAGAGAAGCTGAGCTTTCTCTCGCTGGACGTCCGTCGTGTTCCGCATTGCATCCGAAACGAGGTGTTCGTGTTCGTTTCGCTCTCGACCAACGCACAAACGCTGTCTCGATCGAGAGCGCGTTCGACGCGCGCAATTGTTTAATTAATGTCGATCGCGTTGGATCGCGCTGCGGTATCGCCTCGCCGGGATGCCTTTTCCTGAATCAACCGCGACAAATCAACCGCGCGACGTACAACTCTCGGCTCGGCCAACTAATAATCTAGCGCGTCTCGTGTATCGCCTCGCGAGAAAAGGCACTCGGCTATTATTCGTCACGATGCATTCACTCGCTTCGCACTTTCGTCGTCGCGAGGCGAGGCGTCGCCGACGCGGCAGCTGTCGTTTATTGGTTTTTCGCTTCCTGCCTGGACAGTGTCATTGTCGGCGAGAAATAATCGCGGCCCATTGTCGCGAGTGCCTTGCATTTAAGGGGAAATGCCGTTTTTATGGCGCGCCGTCGTCGACCGCGGAATGTTTTCACGTATTCGGACCGCACGCTCGGGAGAACGCGATTCGTATATGTGTGTGTGTGTGTAGAATGTATCCGTTTTGTTCGCGGAATGTCGTCGCGATGCGACGCGCGACACATAAACCGTACGAAAATTAATTACACGCGAAACGCGAGGCGGAGAAAAAAAACCCGACGACGGGACCTGAGACGGCCGCGCGAGGAAACTTTTGAACGAGAGAGAGAGAGAGGGAGAGAGAGAGAGTAGAATAAAATTGAAAGACAAAAATCGGCAAAATTGTGCAAATTCGCAGCTGCGCAAAATGCGAGAGCGAGACAAACCGAGCGAAGATCGAGTCGGGTCGACAAGCTGGAGGAATCGTTCAGCGGCGGTTTGTTTAGGAGGAGAAAGTTTCAGATCACTCGCTGATCAACGCTACAAAGTTGACGGTACGAAACGTAATTCACGTTAGATGACGTGTAGATTTCAACAAGTCGAAAGAAAGAGGCTGCTTTCACGTTGCATAACACGAGTAATTCTACTTTATGAGCAATTCTACTCCCGAGTGGAGGTCGGGCGTGGATCAACAGGGCTTCGATATCGAGTGGCTTCTAATGATCACGTCTCGGCGGAGTAAATTTTCGGCTCGTTTTACACGAACAACAGACTGCAAGAACACGAGAATCGTGCCGAGACAATTAGGTCAGTCGGTTCGCCGCGCGCGAAGCCTGAGATTGAGAGAGTCTCGGTCGTTCGACTCGCGGTTCCAGGTCGCTCCCAGCGATTCACGTTGGCCGACGTAGCTCGATCCCATCTCCTTCAAAGTAGTCCCCCTGTGATATTATACACTTATGCCAACGTAGTTTCCAGTTTGAGAAACACTGGTGGAACGCCTCTTTAGGTATCGTCACGTCTGTTAAGCTGGCACAGCCCTTTCAGCACAATCGCATGGGACTGGCACAGAAATTTAGTGCTTTTTTGTTGCTAATTTGTTGCTCTATTCCCGATTTTGTTGCTCCAGCCGTTTCGAAAAAAAAATAGTGCCGGGGATATATATAGACGTGTGCTAGCTATAAGAGTAAACTACCCGGAAAAATTTGGTTGCTCACCCAATTTCGGTCTTAATATGTTGTCTGATTTTATTGCTCTTAAGATATCTCAGTTTTAAATTTGTTGCTCGCGGTATGTGTTTAAACAATACTCAAGAACCCATAGGTGTGTGCTGACTACAAGAGTAAACTACTCGAAAAAAATTTGTTGCTCGCCCAATTCCGGTCTCAGTATGTCGTCTGATTTTGTTGCTCTTAAGATATCCCAGTTTCAAATTTGTTGCTCGCGGTATATGTTTAAACAACAGCCGAGGACTTATAGGGCTGTGCTGGCTACAAGAGTAAACTACTCGAAAAAAATTTGTTGCTCGCCCAATTCCGGTCTCAGTATGTCGTCTGATTTTGTTGCTCTTAAGATATCCCAGTTTCAAATTTGTTGCTCGCGGTATATGTTTAAACAACAGCCGAGGACTTATAGGGCTGTGCTGGCTACAAGAGTAAACTACTCGAAAAAAATTTGTTGCTCGCCCAATTCCGGCAACATACTGGGACACACGTCTATAGGTCCCCGGCACTGTTTTTTTTCGAAATGGCTGGAGCAACAAAATCGGGAATAGAGCAACAAATTAGCAACAAAATCGTAGTTTAAAAATATGTGTTCGTTTTTCATTTTTTATTTTTTTTTTTCCGAGGGGCTGTGCTAACTTTAATGTTAAGCTAGCGTAGTCCCTGTTTTCTTCGAAATGGCTGGAGCAACAAAATCGGGAATAGAGCAACAAATTAGCAACAAAAGAGCACTAGATTTCTGTGCTAGTCCCATGCGATTGTGCTGAAAGGGCTGTGCCAGCTTAATAGACGTGGTATCGTCTTGAGCTGGATCTGCGATTTCGCCTTTATCTCATCTATTGTTGAAAAACATTGTCCTTTGAGTGTCCTTTTGAGTTTGGGAAAAATAGGGAAAAGTCACAGGGGGCCATGTCTGGAGAATAAGGTGATTGCGGCATCACAACGGTGTTGTGTTTTGCCAAGAACTGTTGGATAAGCAAAGCGGTATCGTGGTGCAAAATCCACGAGTTTTCTCGCCAAAGTTCGGGTCGTTTTCTCTAGTCTCGGGTCTATTTCTTCAGCAACCTTTCTAATGGTGATTCTTCTATTAGCAAGCACAATCTCTTCAACTTTTTCCACGTCTTCATCACTGGTGGACGTGCTAGAACGTCCAGACCTCGCGTCATCCTCGACGCGTCTTCTCGCGTCGAGGATGACGCCTTCCTGAAAGCGTTCGTACCATTCATAAACTCGTGGTTCATTGCAAACTGAAGTGTATTACAATAACATGCTTGAAGCATGTTAAAGTATGTCTCGACTTTAGACATACAAAATCAGCAAATTAAATTAACACCTATATATAAGTTAAAAGAACACATTTATGTATGTGTTAAATATAATCGTTTGTATGTGTGTGTAATGGTTAGGTGTATTAAAATAACACACTTTCAAGTGTGTTGCGAAGGTGAATTGAGCAACATTGCAAATCCAAGTGTGTTATTTTGAAATGTACAAGCGTGTAAATGAATGAATCTTTTTTACACATTTCTTCCGTTTCAAGTCACGCGTTATTTAACATATTACGTTTAAACATATGTGATAATGAACAATATATAATTAATGATTTAGTCTGTAATAATATGAAAGCAAGTTATTATTACATTAATTTGTTCAATAGATACAATACTTTCTTGAAGGTGATCGAGTAATCGCCGATTTGTATTTTTCTCGCATGTACTTTTTTAATACGCATATGTGTGTTCATTTAAACGTGTGTGTAACAAAATTAGTGTGTTATCATGAACACATTATTAGTGTGTCACGTGACTTGGTGTGTTATCCAGTATATCATCCAAGTGTGTCCTCTGTATATTTCGATTATCATTCTGTGTCTAAATAACACACTCTACGCGTGTCACGGGATTGTTGAGGAAAAGTAACACGTTTCTGTAGTGTGTTACAGACAAGTGTCTTATTAAAATACACCTTTGTCACAGAAAACGAATTATTTCGACGCACTCACCTGCCTTAACGCCAGCTAATGTGTCAAAATAACACACTACAAACCGACACTGAATTTTAACACACACCTTCCGATGCCTAGTTTTACAGTGTTGCGACATAGTACCGTCGCCAAAGGCCTTCTTTAACATTTTGAACGCTTCGCAGCACTTAATACCGTTTTTAACACAAAACTTCAGACAAACTTTCTGACCCGACATTTCACCACACACAAAAAATCGCCAAACACACTGACAAGTACGTCTCGCTCATTCGCTCGCCAAGCACAAATTAAGCGTCGCAGCTGCCTGAAAGTTGACACGTACGTCACTGCTAGTGTGCTACCAGCACACAAAAAAAAGAATCAGCTGAATAGACAAGATACAGCGCGCGCGCGCGATTTCAAAATTCTCGTTACTTTTTGATCAAACCTCGTACCACGATACATTTTACGCGACGTGACGTCATCGCGACGAGGCTTTTCCAGACGCTCTCTCCAATTATCCGCGCGAACGTCACGTCCCACCTCGTCCGCTCGCAGCGCGATTTTATTTTCTGATAAATGTGCGTGTGTGTGTGTGCGTTTAACCTCGTAACTCGCAGGATCACAAGGGTACGCAGCTCTATCTGGGCATTAACCACTGCGGGATCCTGACGTTCCAAGGCTCACGGAAGACGCACCATTTCCGCTGGTCGGAAGTTCAGAAGATCAACTACGAGGGCAAGATGTTTATCGTGCATTTGACGATAAACGAGGTGAGCGCCGAACACATTCGTCGAGGCCGAAGCATATCGGCCGGTCGAGCGCGCGCGCCATGATTTGTCCGATGCGTCGCGGCGCGCAGCACGCGGGTCTAATCAGGATTTATCCTTGCGGCCAGCTCGGCTTTCTCTCTTTCTTTCCCCTCGGCAGTTGCGCCTCTGGCTGTGATTCTCTCCTGTACACTGAGAGAAAAGTGTATGACATTTGGAACTATAATGCTATAGTAACTAAATTACAGTCCGAAATATCATTATTTATAGTAAGTATTACCATAATATCGGTAATAATTAATTACGATATAGGCATAGTAGAACCAACCATATAATATTTTTACTAAGAATTATAGTAAGTCAAACTAAAATTATTTAAGTATGAATACAAATATCAAATGGTAGGTAAAGTAACTCTTGTATATAGTCAATATTACCAGAATATTTGCTAAATGATGACAGATGTAACTATATGAATATTAAATCTCACTATATTTGTGAATGAAAAATTGCCATATATGTGGTAAAAGTAACTAAACTGAATTATTTAAGACAATCATTGACTATATATTTGTGTTTATTCTACTATATTTCGCAGGTTCCACGAACTATAAAAATATGGTTGACGCCAAAATGAACTATAAAATATAGTGAGTTTATAGTTAATTCAACTATATTTTTCTATCAGTGTAACAGCACGCCGTATCTTCTTTTCTTTTCGCTCGTCCGGGAAGCGCAGCCGGTAATATCGTAATCTACAGTTTCTCCCTAAGTGCCGACATTTTTATGCGGTCGCGGATGCGAAAACGCGAACACTCGCGTGCTGCGCGATATCGGACACCGTGTGATTACGAGGGAAATAATCCTGTTGTCTCTTTTCCTCTCGCTTCGTGCGCCGGACCCTTCGTGTGCAGGATGTGAGGACGAAGGTGAGTCTCGAAGGCGATTTTATTAACCCTTTACATCCTGAATCAATTTACCCAAGACCTTATGAGATTTTTGTGCGGTTGAACAGCTTTTGGCATATTACAATCATAAGGAACGGGAAAGTGAATTCTGTGACGCGATTAATGTTAACGATTCAATTTTTAAGCGATACTTGAAGTACCGATAGGAAAAAAGAAGAAAAAAGTTCAGAAACGTATACGAGCGGTGCTTACGAGTACCGTCAGGATATAAAGGGTTAATTGAAAATTAAGTCATCTCTGTGGGGCTTGACAGCGGACGATTGCCTCGGTGAAACGGAAATGTAGTCCTGAAAAGGATCCCGGGCGTATCCCGTTGTCAAAATGAGGATAGGATTTCCTTCCCGCGGGACTCCGTTCTCGAGGAAGGTGTCTCCCGGGATACCCCTTCGCCTCGCTCGAGAACAGAGTCTCGACTTGTTTTTACTCGTAGAAGCGTCGTTACTCTCTCTCCTTTCGTCTACGTATTATTGTTATCTCGCGCGGCTCTCTTCCTTGGAATCGTCGTTTTTGCGCCAGCTTCAGCAGAGTCGCGCCTTTATGCGCCGCGAATTGCTCGTAAAAGCACAAATAAAGCGACGCTCTTCAGCACCTCGCGTCCGACTCGTTTTCAACCGTGCGAATTCCGGCTACGTGTCGAGCTTGTCGAGCTTTCGTCGTTTCGCCACGAACGCGCGACGTCGGTAATTGATAAACAAATTCTCGCCGCGCAACCGTCGACGACCGAGCGATTTCATCGTCAGCCACAACAAGGCGATGATAAACCTCGCGCTTGTTCTTTGTCGCATTTACGTCATCCGCCGGCGCGGCGGAGCGGAGAGGTTATTTTCGCCCGCGTGTATCCGGCTTGCCAAAAACCGCACGGTTGTACGATTCGGATGACGTTATTAATTAAGGACGAATGTCAAGGTGCTGGGATATGCTGGGGGTTTTGATCTTGTTGGAACTTTCCACTTTCAGAAAAAGCACACTGTTGGGTTCAAATGTCCCACGGGGTCGAATTGTCGCCACGTGTGGAGATGCGCCATTGAGCAGATGCTGTTTTTTACGTGAGTATACCTTGCACATTTTTTTTATTAAAACTTTCTCTTGCGAGATAATTTCGTTCCACGAAAGAATCCTGTGCAGAGGGGAGACGCTTGTTTCCACTTGGTATCGACGCGACTCGCATCTCGGATACACCGCAAAATCGTTATACACCGAGATTTTACACTCGGTGGAAATATTGCTCGAAATATTTTGTTCGCGAAGTGAGTGAATACCTGGAAGATATATCTTATACTTATCTTGAAGAGAGACAAGAAAGATTGATTTCCTTATTTCGTATTCGGTATTATTTCCAAGCCGCGGCCCGACCGATCTGCCCAGCTCTTTAAAAGAAGTTCATGTTACAACTATCCACAACTGGCAGATCGGTAACATAAATATAACACGGTAATCAGTCGAATCTCGCTGAAAGGATCAGTTAATACAATGGCGACTGTTCCCATTATTGATGCAGTTTGCAAACGCGAATAGTGTCATTGCACGCAAGGCGCACGCGAAGGCCGTTAATTCCATCGTCACACAAATGCGGAGAGTTGGTTTCGATGTCGCGTACATAACGAATTTGTATATTGCAGACTTTGCAGTAAAATGTCGCTTCCTCTGGAAAGCCAACAAGTAAGTCGAGATATAGGACGATAAAGTGAGAGCGTTTTCGCCGGAAGTCATTGATTATCGATGAGATGCCTCTCTTACTGGCTCGATTAGAAACATTTTCGTTGATTCGCTTCGAGAGAGTCGCTGAAAATATTATTATCACATTTTCATTTCCCCCCGAAGTTTCCCCGAGTTGGGCAACCACGGAGTCTTGCAATTTTATTTATTCTTCCAACAGAAAACAAAGAGGTTGATTCCAGTTTTCAGCGGATTTGCGTCAGAATCAAATTTGAGAAATTCATAATGGTGGGTTCAATGGTGACGGCGCTTAAATACTCAGTTTTGTGAGTTTCTGAAGAATATTTCTCGAGATTGATATCCTCGTTTGATTTTCTATGAGATCTTTGTAGAGGGTTTTTTTCGGTTTTTCGCTGGTGATGGACTCGGGATCGAAGTTTCAAAATTCAAAATGGCGGATCCAATATGACATGATCCAAGTGACTAATTTTGTTGTTCCATTATGGAGAAGATCATATTCGACATGTTTTTTAGATTTAGTTGATGATGAATCCAGTCGAAATTGCAAAATCTGAAATGTCGGATCCAATATAGCGGCTGTTTTATTATGGATTTTATTATCTCCATTATTAGAGGGTGAAATATGGTGAAGGAAACTACTTCTTTGTCGAATGGCTCTGATGTAAACCTCGGATTTATGACAGAAGTTATCTGCAATCAGTAAACATATCAAGTTTGATGCGTATCCATAATGGGGAATATCAATATTAGCCACTGAAGCCGCCATATTGGATCCGTCATTTTGAGTTTTGAAGGGGATTCGCCCCGGGCGAGGCAAAAGAAACTTGTAGGTAAGCTTCTATGTAAAATGCATAATTATTCGCTCTCACCAGTTTAGACGCAAAATGTTGACTCCGGGTTCACCGGTGCACTAGTTATTAATATACAAGGTGTCCGGGAAACAAAAAGTTATATAGGTTAATCTGGTCAAACTGAGAAGAGAAGTCTTTTACACGATTTTGCAAATAAGTACGCAAATTTTCAAGTTATCAATTAAATGACTCTCTAGATGTGGTCATTTTCAATCAATAATAACTTAATAACTACAGCGACTTTTGCAGAATGGTACACGACTTTTCTTCTCAGTTTGCTCTGATTAATCTCCTCCGAATTTTTCGTTTCCAAAAGGAAACCCGGACACCCTGAATATTCTCAACCTGCGTCTCGGCCGATCGCGAGCGATAGCGAGATGTTGGCCGGCGCGTAATGTTACTCGAAATGTTACTTGCGATTCGACCAGCGCGATGTACGTGCGGCTTTTCTGAAATTTCCGCGGTAAGTAATTGAACGAGAGTCGTAAAGGCGCTTCTCCGGCGTTTACCCGTAAAGGATATATCTCCTCGCCGCGGACTTACATCGCTCGTTCCACCATGTCGGATTTATCGCCTCGCTGTCCATCGCGGTCAAATTTAACGTCTCTTTCGCAAGCTTCGTTGAAGCTTTCGAACGACCGTCGATGGTCAGAAACTGGCTCGTTCGATCGCGATCGCGTTTTTATTATACGCATATAAGCGGCTTGTTAGTCAGCGATGGCGGCGCAAAGAATTTCCGCAAAAAGTGCCCGTTTCTCAGTCCCCGGTTTTTAAATTAAATTTTATATGAAATGATAGCTCATGATAAGACATTCACAAAAAAGTTTTACATTGAGGTTTTACATACGGAGGATCGGTTTCAGAGATATAGAGGGTCAAAGTGGTCACTACCTACTAAGGAAGTTTGACTGATAACGTTTTATCGCATGAATTTTTATCGAAATTCAGTATCTATTTCAGTATTCAGTATCTATTCAGTATCTGTTCAGAGTTCTTTGAGTTTCTTATTACGAATTCGATATCAGATTTAAAAAAGTCAAGATGGCGGATGTAATCTAGCGGACACAAATAGTGAAACAATTATTTACTTTTATTAGAACTGTTATGTTTCTTGGTTATGTGGTTTTTTCGGTTAGCTGATTGCGAATTTTCTATCAGGATTTACATTTACCTTCAGTGTAGGCAAGATGAAAAAGTTATCCAGCCAATGAAGGCAAAGATAAGCTCCTAAATATAACAAATAAAACTATCACGTTATCCTTTATGCGTCGTGTAACGTATCAACTTGAATTTGATATTTCTTTTTTATGAGAAAACAATAAAAAAATACTCTTCCCACTCAAAGATTGTCGTTGAAAAAATTACTTTCGAAAACCTAATAGAAAATTCGCAATCAGCTAGCCAAAAAAGACACAACATAAACATAGTTCCAATAAAAGTGAATGATTGTTTCACTATGTGTGTCCGCGATGTTGCACCTGCCATCTTGAATTTTTTAAATCTGACATCAGATTCATAATCAGCAACTCAAAGAACCCATAGATACCGAATTTTGCAAAAATTCGTGCGATAAAGCGTTATTAGTGTCATACTTTCTTGGTAAGTAGTGACCATTTAGACCTTCTACATCTTTGAAACCAATCGTATGCTCAACGTGAAACTTTTCTGTAATTAATGTCTCATCATGAACTGTATTTTGGCATAAAATTCGATTCCAAAAAATCGAGGACCGAAAAACGGGCGGGAAATCGACCCTTTTTGCGGAGGTTCGTTCGAGTTGAGTAGCTTCTCAGCTTCGTTTCCTTTTTTTATCGTGCCTCGATGATTTCCCGGTCCGCGTGCCCCTTCGGGAGAACTAAAATTGTCTCGATTGAAATGATCCTAAGCATCTTTTTGTGAGAATCATCTCACAAATATTTTCATGGCTTCTTTCTGGCGACTTCAACTTTGAATTCTTAGTTTTGAGCGACTCGTCGCGTCTTAGCGTCACTTGACAGGGAAAACTGTCAAGGACACGCGAACTTCAATTTTAAGCATCTGTTATTCTCAACGACGTTACAATTTGTGCGAGTTCTGTAATTACTCGCACAGCTCATCTTTGTGTTCCTCTTTATTCTTCTGCAGGACTTTCCCGCAAATAATAAATCAATTACATTCGCGCGCTCTCCCGCGGAACTTCTTCGCGAAGCGGAATACCGCTCTCTTGTCGGGCAAGCTGATTTTTCAAAATATCTCGAGGTATCTCGTTATACCTCGTTACTCGTTACGCATCGAAGAAACTTCTCGCTAAACTTCTTGTCGTTTTGAGCAATACGCTCGTTAACGTTTCCCGAGGGACGAGTCGCTCTCCCTAGCGAGTCTTGAGGATCCTCTCGACGATTCCCCCCGTTGCCGTCCAGTCATGTGTGCGAGGTAACGGTTAAATACGATTATACACGTCAAAGCATCATTAAAAAAAGAAAGGAGAAAAACAGCTGGACTCGCGACAACAAGCGGACGGAAAGCAACGTAGCCGGCGAGCGGTCGCGGCCGCGCCGAGAAAGGGCAAACAGCTCGCGACGGCGACGGCGGCGTCGCGAGTATAAAACTCGCGGTTTCCCGCAAGCCCGGATGTATATTTTATCGCGAGCGAGGTCACTCGGGTGATCCGGGCAGAAATGAATATTCGCTCGATCGTCGGACTCGAGCGCGACGGCAAAAGTCCACCGCCTTCACCCCTTTCACCGCCGCGTCCGTCGGATCCGTCGCTCGTTAAATATCGAGCGCGAGTCGGTGGCGCGTGTGCTCGCGTCGCAGCTCGTTAGCGACGTGCCACTTGTCGTCGTCGTCGACGACGACGACGTCGAAACTTGCTAGGAGCACGCCGAGACGGACACATCGCTCTCTCTCTCTCTCTCTCTCTCTCTCTCTCTCTCGCGAATCGACGCCCGCGCAAATTGACGTATCTAAACTGTCTGGAGATTTTAGTTAGCGCGAAAGTTCCTTCTCGCACGGACGACGAGAGAGTTCGGCGCCGGCCGAACTCGCGCGCCGACTCGCGCTCGCGCTTCTTCCTACGAAGACGCGGGCTGGCCGCCGCGATTGATGAGACTCGCCGAGTTAACCCTTTGAGGCATAGCGGTAAGTATACTTGTCACCTATTTATTCTCACATTTTCAGGAAATATTTCATATCTGAGGGATTCTTGTAGGGTTTTTTTTTTTTTGCGTTTTTTAGCTTCGTATAAGGCACGGGAACATACGTGAAAGGTTGAAAAGTGTTTTGCAAAAGTGGTCCATTTATTATTTTAAATAAACAAAGTGTGAAAAATGTACATTTTTACAGAAGGAAATAATTTTCCACGAACTATGCGTGAATTTTTTGCTCAAAATCAAGATTTGGGGGTTTTCTCGGTCGCTGATTACGAATCTGAGGTCCAGATTTAAAAATTAATTTTCCAAGATGGCGGGTTCAAAATGGCGGATCATAGAATTTTTGTTAAATTAGCTAAAATTGTACTCTGGTTAGTTTTTGGGGTCGCTGATTACGAATCTGTGGTCCAAATTCTGAAATTTATTTTCCAAGATGGCGGATCATAAAATTTGTATATGATTAACTGAAATTGTACTTTGGTTAGCTTTCAAGGTCGCTGATTACGAATCCGAGGTCCAGAACTCATTGTTCAAGATTGTAGATTCAAGTTGGCGGATCGTGGAATTGTGATATATTTACCTGACATTGTCTTCCGGTTAGTTCATTTTTCATATTTGCCGCCATCTTGAATCCGCCTTCTTGAATTTTGAAAATCTGATAACGGATTCGTAATTAGCGACTCCAAAAACCCCCGTATATAAATTTTCATGTGATCCGGATTTTCTGAAAAATACGTGCCTCAAAGGGTTAACTAAGGTGATCAGAGTTGGCGAGAATTCATTCGGGCAAAGCGCGATCATCGAGATCAGCCAATCGTCGCCCGTGTCAGTAATGACGAAAAATTCGGTTGGTCGGTGAAATTAATTACCGATCGGCGTGTAATCGGCCGTAAACGATTATCGCTTGCGCGATCACGACTTTCACGATGTTTATCTGACGATCGCTTCGATGAGCTAAAATTTCCGTCGATCGATGCCGGCGACACCGCCGAGACGTGATGCGCAATTCAGGCTGCCTCAGCCCAAAAATATCATACGTCAGGACGTGAGAAACGAGTAACTACTTTTTTTATGGATATTTTTCGAGTATTATGTAAGTTGGATTGATGTTCCCTCGCGACGGTGTCAAAGTTCGTACCATGAATCATACGATTTGTGAACTCCACCGACAAACTTGGCAGGACTGGATGCAGAAAAATAAGTAAAAAGGTTTTAGCCAACATACATAAGGGTGTTCCCCGGGAAGTTGCTGAGACTAAACAATTGGTTCTCCCGTCCATGACTTTAGAACGGGTCTTAAGGTTAATGGTCGTTCGCAGTTTTATTCTGGTTGTAGTAGAAGCAAGTCTGTGCGCGTAAAAATGAGTAATCCGACGACGGAAGAAAACGGTCTATCTTATCGAGTGCTTCTTTTCGAGAGAAAAAGTATATTAGTAGCGCTTATAGGAAGTTTCGTATGAAATACAGAACACACAAAATTACGAGCGAAAACATACTGAAAAGGAGAATTCATCAATTGTTTATACTTAGGCGTTGCGTCACTCCATTTTTGGCAATAGATCTGCGTTAAAATAATTTTTTGCGTTTTTAACAGAATTATCGATAAATTTATGCAATATGGAACTATCCAAGACACAATCTTTTTGTCTGTAACTGTAGAAGAAAATATTGAAGAAATTAAGAATTATTTGGAGCAAAATCCAAATGCTTCCATTCGAAAAGCTGGAGGTGTTGATGGAAAATTGATAATTTACACGGACGAGGCACATTTCCGACATTAAAGACAGTTGTTGTGCCGGAAATCGAAAAACGATGCCGGATTTAGTAACAGCTATTAAAAAAAGTCGTCAGTAATATTAACGACGACACGTTAGAAAAAAGTTTTTACGAGTTTTCGTAAAAGAATTAAGTTTTGCACAAACTCAGATGATGCGCACTTGGAAAATGTTTATCCACTAGCTTATTTGATCGTTAGCATATTTTTCATTATTTTCCATCAACAAAATAAACTGACACGCTAGCATTTTTTAAAATTCTATTTATACCGATTAAAAACTGCAGACTTTCTTCTTTTCAACTTCTGTTTTTACGATAGCTGAATATGTTCGAGAATGACAGTGATTAATTTCAGCAACTTGCAACATGGGACACCCTGTATATCCGCAAAGGCTTGCTTTTTTAGACAAAAGCTTCAAAAGATGGTAACGATGAAAGAAACGAAATGTCTCGATAAGTGCGTTAAGAATGCTAATATAATACATTTTTTATTTTTATAATACATTTTTAGGAGGGAAGATATAAGGAAACTTTTTTTGGTCTTTTTTCTTTCCTCTTTCTTTCTTTCTTTCTCTCTTCTCTTTTTCTCTATATATTTCTTTTTTATATATTCTACTTTGTATTTTCTTTCACTTTTATTGTATGAGAATTTTCTTACCCGTTTATTACTTACTATATCATTCTTGTACACCAAAGGGGTCAGGTCCGTATATTATTAATAAATAAATATAAATATAAATATATATAAATATAAATAAATAAAAATAATACTTGTTCTTGGAAGTAAACCTGCCAATTTTGACAATTTCTGAATATTAACCGAAGAATCAAGAATCGCTGGAAACGCTGGAACGTCGCTTTGCCGTTTGTTCTGAGTAAAATAAAAAAAATGCTTTATTGCCTGATATCATGGATTCCTACACTTTCGAGGAATTCGCAGGTACGACAGAAATTCGGAACAATTTTTATAACAGTACGCGTCTGCTTGCTCATTTGTATGAAAACGCGATTTGACGAATAAAATGTATCTTTGAGATCGCGGCGGCTTTGAGATAAAAATCTGAGGACATTTATCAAGGCTTTTACTCTTTTTTCCTTTTTTTTTTCTTTTTTTTTTGTAGAATTCATCCTGCGATTTTTTGTCGCTAGAGTTTTGCAGACACAGCCAGTACTCGCAAACGCTTGACACAAATTTGCCGGGCTTCTCCGTCATCGTGTCATCCTATTAATCATTAACCTCTCAACAATATTGTCACGGAGCAGCTACCCTAACAAATAACGAGGCAATTCGCGCACGGCGAGGACTCTCATCGGACGCCTCTCTCGCAGCCGCTGTTCGTATTAATATCAGGAAACGTTTTCGCCGCGATGCTTAAAGTCCGCGAGCGTCTCCCGCGAGTGAATCGCGCTCGGGTATCTCTCACCGGAGACGAACATATTTTACGATTCGATCAGCGTGCCGGCGTTATCGGCTGATCAAATTCGACTCGGGTTAATATATCGCGACCCCTGCGGCTTATGACGCCGAACGACGTCGATTTCGCCGAACGCCGCGACTCCGGCCCGGCCGGGAAATTGATACGAGCATAAATTCTCGCGTTTATTAGACTCCGACGCCGGCGAAGCCTGTTCCGCGGCTACCTGCGCTCCGTTTTCCTCCTTTTACAACCGGCTGTTGTCCCCGCGGAATTAGAAATTACACTCGATAATACGGACCTGCGGATTTTAATCCTTTGTATCCTGACGGCAGGAAAGGTGTAACGCTCTGTGCAATATTTATATATTGCTCAATTTTTCTTCTGAAATCTTATAATCATTAATCATTATCCCGTGTGTTTATATGCTATTTAATTAGGGAAAACTTTCATAAGAAGGCCTTAGGTAAATTAATTCAGGGTATGCAGATCGACAATGGACAACAAGTCGAATGAAAGAGAACCTTCGCTCGTGAGAACCGAATTTGGTTGCGATGAGGAGCGGAGTTTGCGCCGACACGCGAGAATTCCCGAGAATTCTCACGTGTGGAATTTTCGGTTCCAAGGACGGACGGGGTTCCGTTGGCCCTCGGCCAAAAATTCATCGTCACGTTCATTTCCGACCGGTCTACCTTCCTCGTTTCGCTGCGCGCTGTAATTTTTACACAAGCTGCGGCCTGTAATTTTTACACGCACACGCGCGCGCGCGCTCTCGAGAGGTTTCTTGAAATTCTCCACTCCACGAGAAGATCTCGGGACGAAGAACTTGAGGACGTAACAGGAGACCGTCTTCGGCGGAGGCGAAAGGTGATTCCCGCGACGAGCTAGATTTCCGGCGGTACGAATATGAGCGATTGGAAAATCCCGCGCGAGAATAGCAGAATTCGGTCCGGAGTTAAGCGGAACTCTCGATAATTTCGGCTGAATTCTGTGCGACCTCCAGCGGGGTCTCTGGATTTCGCACGTCAGCAGAAAATCGCCGCTCACCCGGGCGAACCTTTCCCCCCGTCATCGTCGGTTACTGATTGAGCAGGGCTCTCGGAGGGCGGCTTAACGGCTCGCGATTAAACGCGCCTTGTGCACAATGTATGCGTAGTTTGCCGAGAGCGTCGGACGCGCCGGTAGTGAGCGGCGGCTCCATCTTCTCATGGGGCACGAAGTTTAAGTACACCGGGAGGACTGAGAGGGAGGTCCTGGAGGAGACAGGACCGCTCCGGAAGGAAGAGCCGCTGATACAACGCTGCCAGACGACGTGTTTGCGAAGGAAGGCCAGCAGTGTGCCGGCCACTCCCAGCACGCCGAGCCAGGACCTCGTCGAGATACGTGAGTAGCTGCTCCTTTGCTTCCTTCCTTCTTCTTCTTCCTCGTTTTATCGTCGTGTAATTTTTACTCATCATGCCACTTCTTTATTCGGTAGTCCTGTTCTAGATAGAGGAAAGAAGCAACCGTTTTCAATAGGCAATAACTCAGAGTGTCCCGTAGGGGTAATGTTGTCGTAGAACTTTATTATCAGCGTGTCTCGACTAGTTTCCCAACCTTCTTTTTTTTTTTCTCCTTCGAATTGTGCGAGATCATTTGAAGACGACGACGCGATCTCGAGCTCGGCGCTTGGTAATTCATGCGGTCGCATTAAAAGCGCAAGCGGCGTTGTCCTGGATCGAAGTCGGACAGGACCCGTGAAACTTTGGTGGCGAGCAACGTTTGTATGTTTGCTCGCGATGCAAACGCACCCGAGAGAAAGCAGTTTTGTCGTGCACAATCGTGCACAAATTTTGCCTCTACGTGCGGCCATGTGCGAAATCGGCGAGATTGCTTATTATACAACTCAATATATAATTATAATTTATTATAATATGGACATGTAAATAATCACGGACATGTGGACATATAAATAATCATTGTAATATACATAATCATGATTATTTATATTTTCATAAAATAATTCATCAATTCGTAAATTATTTATGTGTTCATGTGGAAAGAAATGCTGCTGTACAGACGCGATTAAAGTGACCACTCGTGTTTGCAGCAGCCCGCAATGTTGACGTTTAATTCGAGAGAGAGAGAGAGAGAGACGAAAAACTATTTTGTCTTTTGCTCATTTAGCATTTTTCGCATTTAGCGTGAAGACGTAAAATTATTACAGGATTGTATGTGTAGGTTATATAGGGGCAAAATTTGTGTATGAATCATATAATTATATATTAAATAATTAATGAAGTTCGTGCCATTTTGTCACTGTCAGACTGCACATGTGCACACTATCGATTAAAAGTGCGGTTATGTATGGAAAATAGTTTATTTAACGGAGAATTTAGCGGTGTATAACGTTTAACGGAAATTAATTTTTTATTACGGGAGGGGGGTTTATTATTTATCTCAATTGATCAATTGATCAAAACGGTACGAACCTTCTTGGTTAGCTAATATAATTTACGTGCAGATCCTTTGTTTATAATATATGAGAAAGCCCTATAGATATATATATATATATATATATATATATATATATATATATATATTATTATACGTATAATCCTTTTTCTCGAGCAATTATCACGCGATAAGTATCGGATATTTTTGGCGATCGCAAAGAAGCAAGAAGTTTGCCCCACGCTCGTACATCAGACGCCATATATGCCTTGACGTTTGATTATCATTACCATCAGGGAAGGGAGGGGAGGGTCGGCTAACTAGCTAATCGGTTAAAAGTTATAAGTTGGCGAGTTAAGAATTTAACAACTCTTTTCCCTTAGCGTAGTTAATCTCGGAAGAGTCAACTTCTTGAGCTTGAGCAGTTATTTTTAAACGCATCAACGTTACTGCTTAATGTTTTTTCGTACAAGTTAAAATAATTCATCGATACTGAAGCCATCGCGGGCTAATTACAAAACGCGGAGTGAAGAAGACTCGGGAGCGACGTCAGTGAAGTTTCCCCTTTTTCAGCCATGAATTTGTCACACGACTGGAGAGCCACGTTTGTACGCTTGTAAATATCGCTTTGCACAATCAACTCTCAACTACGATGAATCCCCATTTAGCTTTTTTCACCCAACCTTTCATCAGGTTAGTCCTCGTTAAGGCAACCTTGAGCTTAACCAGCTCAACGGCCGCAAGCCTTTAACTCTAACTCAATTTAGCCGAGAAAATATTAACTTACTCAAGCCCGATTGTGTTACCAGAGTAAAATTTTCTCTCACCGAGTGAGAATCACCCCGCCGTGGCAAAACTCTCCTTAGGCCTGTTTCGAAATCTGTTTCGCAGAGGTCGTACTCTCTCCCCTATTTCCTCTTTTTCCCCTTTTTATCTTTTGATCTCCTCTTTTTTCCTCTTAAATCCATAATCCTCCTCTATTTTCCCTATAATAGGAAATTCTTAAACTTACCAAAAATCAGACAACCTTTTCAATGGCGAGTATATGAGATATCGGGTATTAATTGAGTCCTTTCTGAATATAAGATAGTGTAGAAAAGTGCAGATACGCGCGCCATCTCCCGACGCGTATCTTTCCGGGGGCCAGAATTTCGAGACCGAGAATGTTCCGAAATTCTGACAAGATATGTGTCTGAACATGGCGCGCTAATAATTAAATTAATAAAAAAATTAAAAAAATTAAAGAAATAGTATGCGATTACTTTTGCAAAACGCCATGCAAAAACGTGTCTCTGTATGGAGAAAATATTGTAGTAAAAATTAACACAAAATTGAGCAATGCTGGATCATATCGGAATAGTGATTGAAATTATGATATATGTTGTAATTTTTAGTGATGTATATAATGTATACACATCACTGAAGATTACAAAACATATATTGTAATTTCGATAATAATTCCTGTATAATCCAGCGTTATACACTTTTTTAATAATTTTTACTACAATATTTTCTCCGTGCACAGCTTATGTTCGTTTTTCTCTCAAATTACTTGATAATTTTTTATATTTTGTTTGGAATATATTTTAAAAATTCAATTTATTATATCTCATACATAGATACATACATATGTACCACTCCCAACTTATGTACAAACGTTTTTTTTGTTATTTTAGATTTTATCAGAAGTTTTATGTTTCCCAGGTAGCAGGGTGATATCAAATGACATATTAATAACGTCATTAGGCATCTTAATAACGTCACCTTGTTACTTGGGATATTATATATTGATAAATATATATCGCGTTTTTCAATAAAGATATTACTGTTTTAATAAAAATATTATTTTCAACAAAACTATTGTTCAAATACATCAGTGTTATTAGTCTTTTGATGTGAATCTGTTTTTCAAATCAATTAAAATTTCCCCTTTCTTTCATAAAATACTTCTCCTTTTTCTCATCATAATTTTCCCCTATTCCTCTATAATAAAAAGAAATAGAGAGTACGTTCCCTGGTTTCGAAAACTCTGCTTTTACCTGTAAGGTTGGCAGGCTCTAAACTAACCTAGATACGTCCCATAATTCGTGATCAGCTGATCACGCTTGGACGCTCACAGCCGTGTATTAATTCTGGTTCTAGCTACTAATTTTGCAATGTTAGTAGAGAAATGGATAGATCTTGTATTATTTATTATTCATTAATAATTGATAATTGATCAACTGGTCGGGTACAGAACGTATCCGAGTTGGTTCAAGGCTTGCCAACCTCATGACCAAACCGAAGCTTCCGGAGTCGATTTCGGAACAGGCCTGTGATAACGTCAAGGCATATATCTGTATGACGTCACACGAGGGGGAGGGGCACATGGATCGTTTCGTTGCGAGTCCTTGTTGCACACGCGCTTACCAAGTTGCCGCTCCCGGCGCTGCTGGACTAGAACGAGTCCGAGCGGGAGCAGGAGCGAGAGCGAATCTCCGTTCGCGAGATCGCTCGGGGAAGAAATAAGGAAGAAATGGCGCGCGCGCGTCGTTGGTCGCACGGTAAACGCACGGTCGTTTTACCGTACACTCAAGGACGCGGAGCAACGTGGCGAAATGCTTCACTCACGGGTCGACCACGGAGCCTCAAGGTATGAATCGCATGGTCTCGTCGCGTTTCAGGATATTCCAGCCTGCCGCGTAGCTGTCACAGCGCGGGCCTGGACGGCACCGGGATGCTGGAGGGCGGCTCGGGTGTTCCCCTCAGCTCCCCCTACTGTCCAGACAATACCTTGCCCCTCCTGGAGACCGTATCCGAGGACCAAGAGATTCACGCCAGGAGAAACAATGGTTAGTTCACGCCCGTGTGTCGTTGCAATTCTCTCTCTCTCTCTCTCTCTCTCTCTCTCTCTCTCTCTCTCTCTCTCTCTCTCTCTCTCTCTCTCTCTCTTTCGTTTTCTTCTCCTTCTCGTTTCTCCACCATCGCCCCCCCCTCCCAACGTTGAGTCCCCGAAATTCGTTCGACTCCACCCCTGCCCCTTCCCCCCCCCCCAGTTCGTTCGAGTTGCTCGGCGCGACGCATGTGTGAAGCGACGACGGTGAAGCGCAGCGATATTATCGATTTGCTGATAATTAGAGCTTGCGTGCGAATTTTGCTATGCGGAGGGGTAACCTTCCTTGGCCAGGTCACCATGGACGTGCAGGTGTCAGGGTTCTCGCTCAGGTACACGTTTGTGGGCAGGATGTGTTCTCGATGTTTGCCGAATAGAAGTTAGTGTGCATGACGAAGGTGCGCCCCGACAGTCGTACGCGAGAGACAGGGAGGATCGCGGTCGGAACAGCCGCGAAGGATTCGCGTACGAATCGTTCCTTGAGAGCAATCCGCCGTCGAGTCGCGTCCAGCTCGCGGCCCCTCGAGAACTCGCGCGGGAGGAGGCAGGGGGGAAAGGAAGAGAGACAGAGAGAGAGAGAGAGAGAGAGAGAGAGAGAGAGAGAGACCGAGGGGATCGACCCTGCGAGTCATTTTGCAGCGCGCAAATTCGGGTCCTATTCGGTGTCGAGTCTTCCACGCCGCGGGAGAAGATCCTGCGCCTCTGCGCGTGTGTCCCATATCTCTCTCTCTCTCTCTCTCTTTCTCTCTCTCTCTTTATGAGCGCCGCTTCTTTGGCTTCTTAGACCTCCTTGGTTGATTTGTTTTCTCTGTTTCTTTCTATTCTTTTAGCCGTAGACGAACATGATACGCATGCGAGTGCCACCCACACGTCTACTACTACTACTACCACCACCACCACCACCATCACCACCTCCAACACCACCACCACAAACCGCGCGAAAGCCAAACTGAAATTTCCCAAGAGCACGCTGAACCGACCGCAAGCGTTGTACAGTCAGAGAATAGTGATAGGCTCGGAGGAGCTGGCGGGCCGCGACATCGAGCACGTCGTACGGCAACGTATTAACGCCCTGACTAACGACCGGAGCCCGAAGGTGGTGCGGTCGACCGCTCTGATAATCAAGAGCTCGAAGGCGCCGGCGAACGCCAACGGACGTTCGCTTTTGGCTCGCGACGAGCGCGACGGTAAAACGCGCGTAGAGGTAAGCGAGCTCGGCGGATGGACTGCTACGCCGACGACGACCTTGGCCACCGCCAACGGTTGCGCGAACCTGGCTATGGCCGGCTCGGGATTGTCCAATGGATTCGGTCGCTCGAACAAGCGACAAGGGCCGCCAGGTAAGTGCGGGGGCCGAGGGTCAAGAGAGAATAAAGTGTAAAGAGCCCGGGCGAGCCAAACGTCGGCAGCATGCCGGCAGACTCGAGCGGGAACACCGCTCGTCACCGCCATTTTAAGGAGATGCCACGCTCGAGGACTCTGCCGACCGACAACGCTGGCTTCTTTCCTGCCTCTTGTTGCAAAGTTGACTTCGCTTACCGTGCTGGTCGCACGAAGATGTAGCAGAGATGTGCGAACTCGTTTGAATCGTTCGAGGCCGAACTACTTCAAGATCTCGAATTGCGGACGTTGAAATGTATTTAAGACTCGATTGCCGGCTGAGACGATGGTAACTCTTGAGAGAAATCAGCGCGAAGTTTAATCATTAGGAGGGAATAAAATGGTGTTTTAATATCAATAATTATAATCTTCAGGATGGTTTTCTTTTTTTTTTTTTAACGTGAGAGGTCGATTTACCTCGCAAGTCTGAAGAAATAATTGCGAATGTCGTCATACCTTCAAACATTGTTATCCTCCCGTAGTTTAAAGTTACTTACAGTAATATCCAACAGTGTAAGCTGCGTTATCAGTTACGTTAAAGGTTTCGACGATTCAGTTTGATCGGGCTCGACGCGGAAAGCGTCCTCGGTTTGCACATCTCTGAAGGTCACGCGCGAAAATGAATCGGAGCGTTCAATATGTGAGCAAAGAAGAAAATTCGAAATTTCCAAGTCGACGTCTCGAGGCGTCGTCGGTTAGCTTGAAAAGATTTGCCCGTGATATAAAAAAAGTTCTGCAGCCTGCATCTCGAAAATGTTTGCCATCTTTTCCGTATTTCTCGTTCATACAGGGTGTACTAGAAGAATGTATACTCCGGATTAACTTTCTTTGACGTTTTTAAAAAAAAATGTTAAATGCAAAAGTTTTACGATTTGGAAGTGGACATCTAGCGGTGAACTCGAACTTGACTTAGAAATCAAATTTAAAGGTCAAATCAGAGTCAATTTTGAAATCGTAAATGGAAATTCTCATTTTTTATTATATCATCTTTTGCTACCTGTTAGTTTCAGCAACTTTCGTCTGAAACATGTTTTTATTTACCTAATATTTTTTGAAATATTTAGGGAAAACTAGGTAACTTTTTCAATATTTATCTCACGATATCTCGGTAGTTATTTATCGGGAGAAAAAATGGTTTCAACAATATGTTATTACAATAGTCCTAACTTTTGTTAACTTGATGACCTCTGGAAATTTCAAAATCATCACCCTAAGGTCATCATCACTAGATGCCCGTTTCCAAATTTTAAAACTTTTGTATTTAACGCTTTTTTTTTTTTTTTTTTTTTCAAAAACGTCATCCCTTCGAGTTAAACCGCAGTACCCATCTTTCTGGTACATCCTGTATATCTCATATAAATTCCTTTATATGAGATATACCCTCTGCTTTTTACCGTGTTCAGCGGGAGACCTAATCACGTATACGCAGAAGCCTCTCTGCAGACTTTTCTATTTCGAAGTGTTTGAAAAAAATCTCACCGACGGAACACCGAGCTTCTTCCGCAAAGTTTACGTCAAATCGGTCACACAGAATTGCAAGTGCCGTTAAAGAGCACGTTACATTGGAACGTCGCCCGAGATGTGACGGGAACGATAAGAGGAAAAAGAAGACCTCAAAGTCGACACTTCTAGCTGCCAAAGATACGAAAGTCTGCAGCTCAGGAGAGAAACCTCAAGGAAACGCTTTCGCAATCGAATCTCGAAGTTCCAAAATATGTACGGGAAGTTTGCGGAGTGCTTCCGCGACGCGTGCGTGCTGGTTTCCCGCTAAATACAGCAAAACAAGGCAGCACACAACGTTTCAACGCGATGATCCCCTCGAGTACGAGAAGTATGAAAAGAACAGTGTCATCGCGCCGCAGAGTGCTCGTTTGGCCGATCATCCCCATGTCATCGGCACTCTTCGAGTTCGTCCACCTTGGCACCCCTTGAGCATCCCTTGAGCTCGTGTTTGCTCAGGACGGAGTCTGCTGGTGCAACTCGACGCGGCGGATCGGCCGCGAAAGTCGAGCAGGATCTGCGGTATGTCCCACCTAGTCGGTCACAAAGCGACAGATCCTGCTCAGGTTCTGCCGCCGATCCGTCATCATACCTTGCCGGCAAGCTGCCGGCAGAATTGACCGCAGTTCCTGCGCAAAATCTGCTTCTGCAGGTTTGGCTATCTGGGAATGTTCTTTATCTCCTGTCTCTCTCTCTCTCTTTCTCTCTCTCTCTCTCTCTCTCTGTCTCTGTCTCTGTCTCTCTCTGTCTGTCAGCCGCTCTTCGCGACACTGTCTGTACGATGTCCGATAACGGTTCCGCTCGCGTGTGTCCTTCCTCTCGATCTCTTTCTCTCTCTCTCTCTCTCTTCCTCTCTCCTCCTCATGGTGCATGTGTCGTTGCTTGTGGACTCTGCTCTTGCTTTCCTTTCGTCCGTGTGTCTTTATGTTGAGCATCGCTGCTGCGGTCTGCATGGGCTTGCGCCTGTTACACGTATATCAGCCCGCGACACGTCGTCCCCGGGGTAGACGCACGAGGTACCTCGTGTGTTCTCGGATTGTCTCCAGTCGATCGATCGGCTGCTGATCGGGCCCCGGATACAGCTTCCGCTAGCTCGGATTGCTTCCGGGGGGCGTCGAAAGTTTCCTGTCCGTTCGTCTTGTGGCTAAGGCGGAGTGGGATTGTTAGTAGTGATGGGCGATCCTGTAGAAAAAAATCGATTTTTCTGTCGACCTCGAGAGAGAAAGAACTAGAATCGATTTACTAAAATTGATCTAGAAAATCGCACGCAAGGAGCACATTTAAACATGTTTCTTCTTATTCGATCCTATGACGTCCCGTCAAGATGGAAATTTCAAGAGAACTTTTTTAAAGGAGATCTTTGCATATCTCGGAAATTATGTCGAAATGATATTTAATGATTTTCACTCACCAGAGCGCTTTTTGAGATATCTCTCTTGAGAAATTTCCTGAAAATATCGTCTTCACGATATTCGGATATTATCTTATATTATTTCTTGAAAATGCCACTGTTATTATTATTCTAGATGATATCCATTTGTCCCCTCATGAAAAGTATGCAGAGTGTATAAAAAGTACCAGGACGGCGAAATATTTCGAAAATTAAGCATTTTAGAAAAAAAATGTTTCAGACAAAAGTTTTGTTAATTTGATGATTTTTAAATTAGCAAAGGTTACAAGTTAACAAAAGTCAGAGTGCTACTGTAAAAATATATTCTTGAGACCAAACAGAGTAAAAACGTCCAGTACCACTTTTTCTTCCGACAAATAGGGAGATATAAATTAAATATTGAAAAATCTACCTTAAATTTTCCTTCCTTAAATATCTAAAAAAATATTAGACAAATAGAAAAATGTTTCAGACAAAAATTGTTAAAATTAATTGGTAGAAAAATATGATATAAATATGACATAATAAAAAATAGTAAATAATAAAAAATAAGTATGATGTAATAAAAAATTGTGGTTTAAGAAAAGTAACGATCAGTGAATATCTCGAAAATGACGCCATCTGTAAACAAAATGATATAGTTATTTTATGTCCCCTTTGAAATTATACAACTTTTGTCTGAAATATTTTTTTCTAAAATGCTTAGTTTTCGAGATACTTCGCTACTTTTTACACACCCTGTATAATGTTGTCTACTTTCCGAGTATTTCATACGTACGGCTCAGAAGACTAGACATCGTTATCCTTAATGAGAGAGATTTATTCGAGTTAATTGAAAAAGATTTTACGTAAAGGTAATATTCTCAAGAAGCGGATCCAACTTATAAAATTTTATATCGTTATCCTTAATGAGAGAGATTTATTTAATTTAATTGAAAAAGATATCATGTAGAGGCAATATCCTCAAGAAACGAATCCAACCTATAAAATTTTATACACTGACGATGTAAGAAATAAAGTAAACACTTTTTTTGAAAGATCATTAGATCAGCCGAATATTATTAAACTGCCACTCGCATGTTTACATGTGAGCAAGTGGTAAACTCGAAGTGGTCAACAGTCAAATAAAGGAAAGCAAAGACTACAAAAGATGACGGTTCCCCGATGATCGGGGATATTTTGTGGGGTGTGTAACTGCGCGCTTATTCGGCATATTTGTAAGTAGCATTAAATTCCTTCTACTACTTACTTTGTTAACGCGTTAAGCGGCGAATATTTTTTGTCGATCTTTCCGTTTACGCCACGCGTTTATATATGTGTGTGTGTTTTAATATTAATAAAAGTAACATGTAGATACATTTTTCTTTTCTCATAATCTGAAACTTCTCAATATTAGAATATTATTTATTTAATTTTGTATTGTCACCGGTGACCGGCGCTGCGTTGACGCACTGAAGCATCAATTATTTAATTGCTCATAAAATATCTCGCTTAATCTATCACACTGCCTTGTAATCGGAATCGATTCCAAAGTGAATTCTTCATTAAACAAAGCGATACTGATGATTGAGCGGATTTACACAATCCGAATAAGATGGATTTACACAAAAGTCGGGCAGAAAAGAATCGACTGAAGAAATTGATTCTTCGGAGGAGAAAGGTTGATTTACTGAAAATCGAACTGCGATCGCCCATCGCTAGTCGTTAGAGTATCAGCTGCAATTGCGATACGATAAGTGCATCATAGTCGGGAGAGTGCACGCATAAACGTGACTTCACGCGCAGCAGTTGTCTGTCGATCTTCTCTGCGAGATCGGCTCGTGGAAAGCGCTCGTTTGTTTTCGTCATCTCGCTCTTGTCCGCCAAACTATTGTTGGCTGTGTGTTGTTATACAAGGTTGTACTTGAACTCTGTCGGCACAAATCACAGGATGGATTCTATATAAAAGAAATAACTAAGAAAGTCTTGGTTAATACTCTCAAGCTTAGTTTCTGAGATTTAACTGCCGCAAACTCAGTTAAAAAAGATATATATATATATATATATATTTATAATATATTTTATATATATTTATATATATTTTTTTACATATAATATAAATATATATTACAATATATATATATTATATATATATATATAGATATATATAGATATTTTATTTATTAAATCGCGGTTTACGAATAAGTAACTAGACACATGCTGTTGCAAAAGTTGTCCGAAATGTCTGCCACGTCTGCAAGCTCGTCGAGAGAGTTTAGGCATCCATGATGTCGACACGAAATAATACGTTTTTCTAATTTCGCGCGAGAGGTAACAATATCAATATTGGTGGATATTATCTCGAAAATCAGGTGAAAAACGTACTTATGAGCATTGTTAATCCGCTTATCGCGACGCGTTTTCTTTCATCGCTGTCATCTTCCGAAGGCTACGCCTCAAAAACCAAGCTTTTGCGAAATTACTAAGACATTTTTATTTATTTTTCAATATAGAACTTGTCTTGTAAGTTGTCGACGGAGTTCATCCTATATATACAAAGTTTTCAAGAGCGCTTCCTCTGGAGGATTTTCATCGAACTGATCCGAAATTGGTGAAAACAAACTTACATCTCCGTCACCTTCATCCCTAAATCGATCCCTTGGAGTTAAAAATATATCTTCGAACTCCTCCCCTCACCCAAGAAGGATTTCTCTGCGAATCCTTAAAGAAATTTCTTCCTTAAAGAAATTCAACCTTTTATATCCGAAAAAGGTTCGAAAGAAAAGAAGCTAGGGAGACAATTTCGAAAAAACGGGCATGTCCTTCAAAGATCTTCCCAGACACATTCGAGGAGATTCGAAAATATTTTTTTTAATTACAGGGAGTTCATTAAGAGGGAGTGGATGTCATCTGTTTTAGTTAATTTAAGATCAGTTTAGAAAGAGTCTCTCCGAGAAGGCGTTCCTGAAAACACATTCTCTACAGGACGTCTCATAATTTGCGCTCATCATTTGCACAGTGCTGTACCTTATGAAAATCTTCGCTGACCTTCTCTTAGCGAAAATGTCGAGAGTAATCATTATATATATAGCAAATTTTCAATTTTCAACAGAGCCTCAGATGAAAATGTTGCCGAAGCAAAGTGCACTTTAAACTGACCGAAGGACAGAATTTTCGTCCGATCGCCCGAAGCGTAGCTCGCGAAGAGCCTCGCTTTCCTCGATCGCTTATACTCCGGAAAGTATCGAAGCCTCCGACACTCTGTTGAGAAAGAAATGGCGGATTTTCATGCGAGAGAATAGCGCTGTGCAAACAGCGAGGGCGCAATTCAGGAGACACCCTGTATATAGACGCACATATGCTTGATTTGGTTTCTTCCGGGTTGCTACCGCGTCCATCGCGAATTAGTTGGCTGAACATTCCGGTTCGCTTCCTCGGCAAGGGGAAGAAGCGGAAACTTTCAGATTGCAGTTGAAGAGTTCCGGGTTGTGCCTCTTGCGGAGGAAGCGAACTGGAATATTCACGAAGCGTCGGGGAAACAACGAGTCCACGACGGTGCGCGCCGTCTCAGGCCGGGAACGAAATCGAGTATTTCTCTGAGCCGCGAAAGCCTGAGATATACAGGCGGGATTGTCTAGAAGAAGGACTCGGTCTGCGTTTCTTCCACGAGCGCGATCCCGAGCCTCGGAGTAGATCCGTCAGAGCCTCCGCACTTGCAAACGTCTTCGTCCCCGAGTCGCTCTCTCCCCGACGAGCAGCAGCCGTATTGCCGATGTAACATCTGGCACGTTCTTTCTGTTTCAGTCGGTCAGCACGAGGGCGAGACGAACGACTATTACTTTAGGGACTCTTTCGACCACTCCTCGTCGGAGAGTCAGCTGCTGGACGCGCCCGGTGGCGGCAAGCCGCACAGCCGCTCGGTCACGCCGGTACCGAAGGTGCAGAAGCTGCAGAACTCCAAGCTCTGCCTTCAGCAACAGCAACACCATCAGCAGCAGCAGCAGCAGCAGCATCTGGGTCGTCGCGCGAACGGCAAGCTCAGACACCAAAGTATGCGCGTGATCAGGCTCTTCATACCGGCGTTCATGCTGACGATCACGGTGCTGTTCATCGTGACGGTGCTGGTGTTCGAGACGGACACGACGCTGTTCAACAGCCTGCGCAAAATGCCGGAAATGGTGGCCTTAAGGAGCCAATATTACGTTCCGATCAAGGAGTTCCTGCGGACCAAGCTCGGCCTATTCTGATGCGACAAGATGACCGGGCCGAGATCGTCCTACGTCGTCGCGTAGCGCTCTCTCCCTTCAGTGCCAAGTCGCGGACGGATTCGTGACTGAGAGATACGGCCCTAGTCGCGGGAAAAAGGAACGGACGCGCCTTTCTCCCTTATCCCTCTCCCCTTCCGCTCATCCCCCCCCCCATCCCACCCAAGCCTCCCCCCGGCCTCTAGCTCACCCTACTAACCAACTAACCAGCCACCTAGCTACCCTCCGTTGCGCGCCGTCGCGTCGCAGCTTGGTCGCACGAGCGTGAGTGCTTCGGACGCGAGAGTCGATCGACAGAGAAACAGAGAGAGAGAGAGGGGGGGGGGGAGAGTGCGTTGCTCGAAGTTAGGAACGGTCGGAAGAGGAAGAGAATGAAAAACGAGGAATAAAATCGAGAGGACGAGGAGGAGTCGATCCGAGCGATCGTAATGTCGCGTGCAGCTTTCGACGCGCAAGAGAAAGAGAGAGAGAGAGAGAGAGAGGGAAAAGCCGGAGATCGCAACGGTTATAATTGAATTGTGTACGAACAGGGAGAAAGAATGTACACCGGCAGACGGTGTCCCAGCCGTTCGTCGTCCCACGTACGATGCTTCTCAACGACTGCTTCTCACCGATCCTCCTTGTTTCCTCATTTCTTTAATTTCTTATTTTTCTTCTTCCCCGGCGAGAACGGAGCCGACGCGACCGACGATCGAGTCGGCGGGACCTCCCCGGCCGAGCGAGCTCGGTCGGTCTCCTCGACGGCAAGAGAGCGATCGATTTGCGATGGAATATTTTGCGATACATACATATATGTAACGGTAACACTAGTGCGACGTTGGTTGATGGATGAATGGCCTATCGTGTTAAGACTATGAGACGGACGACGTTGGTTGGGTGACTCGCGGAACCCGCAGATGAATATACGCGCGCTACGCACCCTGGCGTAATAATCATAATAAACAGAATAAAGGAAAAAGAAGAAGAATATTTTGACATTGAAGAGACGAGACGTGGAGGAGCATACAGAAGCGGAGATGTGTAATATATATGTGTGTGTGTGTGTGTGTGTGTATATAGGGTGTCCGGGATCTTGTGGAAACGAAGAATTGTGAAGATTAATCGAATGAAACTGAGAGAAGAAAAGTCGCGAGTCATTTTACAAAAAAGTCGCAATAGTCACTGAGTTATCAATTATTGAAAATGACCCGAAGAGACTCTCTTAATTGATGAACTTGAACATTCGCCTACTTATTCGCAAAATGATACGAAACCTTTTCAAAATGATTTAATTTACGCTGCTACATGACGGCTATTGTATCTAGCGATAAGTACAGGTACATATTGAACTTCGAACCCTGTCGCTGTCGAATCTTGAACCTGTCGCTAGGTACGATAACTATCATACAATTGTAGATCAAGTCATCCTGATAAAAGAAGTCCTTTACCACTTTGCAAATTCAGTCAACTAAAAAAGCCTCTAGACGTGGTCATTTTCAATTATCGATGACATAACAACTCTTGCGATTTTTGCAAAATTGTACATGACTTTCCTTCTCACATTAATCTTCGCAATTTTTCGTTTCCAAAAGATCCCGGATACCCTGTATATATACACACACACATACACACACACACACACACACACACACGCGTGCGCGCGCATATATAGAGACGATCCCGGCCGTGCCGCGCGTTATTCCGCGTCGGCGGGTGCTCCCCCCTCCCCCCTCGAGCGGCGGCCCGGAACGGATTCCGCATCGTGCCCGTCGCGCAGCGGAATCGCGCGCGGCCACGGAATCGCGCGCGGCGCACAGCCGGGAACATCCTGTGTACACATAGATCGCTGAAACGAGAGAGGTGACACTATTACTCATAGGGACTTTAGGTTATTTTAAACGGTCAACGAAGAAGCAATTGTTTCGTAGATAATCGTAGGCTAATACATACGCGCAGCGCGGAGAAACGCGCGCGGGGGGAGAACACCGCAGCGTCGGACGGCGGCAACGCGTCGAGCCCGCGCGAGAGAGAGAGAGGGAGAGAGAGAGAGAGAGAGAGAGAGAGAGAGAGAGAGAGAGAGAGAGAGAGAGAGAGAGAGAGAGACTTCCTGCTGGATTGCATTCGCTGTCGATTCCCCGTTCTTACGACCGCGGCCGTTCTTAGTCGCGCGAGCGTGCCTGTGCGGCTGCGAAAACTGCATATTTTTGTATAAACGTAGACTTTTTATCGTAGGCAGAGGCAAAGTGAGGGGGGAGAAGGGAGAGGTGATAGGGGGGGGCAAGGCTAAAATCAAAATATTGTTTGGCACACGCGGATATACGCGGAGGGTTCTCTCTCGGAGCTTCTAGGTACTTCGGGTGTCAACGACAAAATTGTGCGAAATAATTATTATCCGAATACATAAATCAGCAGCGCGATTGTCTCCTCTCGTCGGGTTTTGAACCCCGTGAAATTGCAGTTACGAGGCGACGATTCCTTGGTTGTGAAATTTTCAAGAAGGCTGCGCTGCGAATATCCGTCTGCCCGGCTGCGAGTTTATTGTAAATTCGGGCCCGATCCGGCTTTGGACTCTCGATGTCTCAATTGTTTCTCGGATTCGAGCCCGAATTTCGAGGGACGCAATTGTCCGCTGAGGTGAATGCCCCGATTAATGAGCGTCCCGATCGGCCACCATTGTACCGTTTTCCTTAACAGCTGATACTTCACGTTTATCTCATAAATACACGTTCTTCAAATTTCGAACATTTATGAGTCAGAAGTTTTTTTTTTTCCAACCGAAACCCCAAACGCGTTCAAGTTGCCCGATGAAATCAATATGCGCGTACTTGGCTTATACAAGGTGGCTCGTTTTGATTTATCCTCCACTCCGAGATCCACTCGAGTGGATCTCGGAAAATATAAAAGATACGGAAAAACGTTTCAGACAAGAGTTGTTTGGTTTGAAGGAGAACATGAGACAGCGAAATCGTTTTGTTTGCAGATGGCGCCACTTTCGAGATATTCACTGATCATCAGTTTTCTTAAATAGATAAGAATTTTGTCGTTATATTATCTTTTTCTACCAATTAGTCCGAACAACTTTTGTCCGAAACACTTTTTTATTCGCTTAATATCTTTTGCAATATTTAGCTTACGATATCTCGGTAAGTTTTTTTGTTGGGAGAAAAAGTGGTAGCAGACTCTTTTTACTCCATTTGGTTTCAAGAATATGCTGTTACAATAGCGTTTTAACTTCTGTTAATTTTATGATGTCGAAATTTCCAAAGCTCCGTATCTCTTACATTCTCTGAGATATTTGAGTTGAGGCTAAATTAAAGTGAGTCACTCTGTATGTGTAAATATATAATAGCATATATAACATATCATCAATTTATTTCAAAATCTCATTTTAATATATACACGCGATAATACACAATGTATTAATTAATTCTTCAGCCGTATAATACATTATTAATTTACTTTCACCACGGGATCACACCCGCTCACTGATCGGGACATTCGCCTGGTCCGAAAGATACCGGCTTGGAGCCCGGGAAAAGAGGAAAACGACAGGCAGACGAAGGGCAGGAACTCGACGAATTTCACGGCAAAATTGTGCGAAATAATTACTATCCAAGTACATCAGTCAGCAGCGTCAGGCGGACGTCTCCGAACGTAGAGAAGCCGCGGAGAGACCCTCCTCCGTATCCGCTCTCGCTCGTTTCTTTCTCCACGCGTGCACGTGCACGTTTCAGCCGACGGCCGCGCACCTACGCTGTCGCGCGCGTCGCGGCGCGTAAGAACGATACACTTCGGTAGGCTAAAATTCGCATATCGAGCTACACCCGACGCTTCTGCTTCGTACCGTTTGAATATCGACCCAAGCGGCGGCGGCGGCGGCGGCGATTCGAGCAGGTCGCGGCCGGTCTTCTAGACTGAATGGCCGCTTGAGGGTTTTTGTTCTCGAAAGCAGCTGTCGATGGCGATGTAAAGTTTCGCTCGCTCGTCAATTACTCCGGATCCTGCGCTCCATCCGACGGGATCGTTGCCGTTGACGGTGGAACGGCGAGGAGGGGCGGGAGGGAGGGAGGGAGGGAGGAGAGAAAGAGAGAGAGAGAGAAAGTTTCTGCTCTCGAGTGGACATACAACTTCGCTGTCATCCGTTTTTCCTTAAAGTGCCTACGCTGTCTCACGCCCTCTCTTGCGTCGCTGAATTCGCTCGATACCCTTGCCCTCTCCGCGCCCCTCCCTCCCCCGCCCTCCCCCCTTCCCTCCGTCCTTCTCTCCTTGAGGTGAAGAGAAGGCTCGAGAGAAAAAAGAAATGCGGAACAGGGCGAAGTTGAAGCGAAGTTAACGAGGATCTTCGGATCGAGGGGCGCGTCGACAGCGCTCTCCTGCTCGCGCGAGCGCGACTCGCTCGCTCTGCAGAAGCAAGGAGAGAGAGAGAGAGAGAGAGAGAGAGAGAGAGAGAGAGAGAGAGAGAGAGAGAGGCAGCGTCGTCCCCTCCGTCTCGCGCACAGACGGCTCTGAGAAATTAGAGCGGTAACTGTGCGAGATACGACGTCGCGTTGCTTCGCGCGGCTTCGGCGTGAGTAAAGTCGCGTCGCTCGTGCAACGTCCCGTTAACGTTACCGATTCACTTTCGCGGCTCGCTAACGACGAGGCGTCGCCCTCTGTTCTCTCTCTCGCACTCGCGCGGCTGCAACGAGTTTTCTGATTAGGGATGGGCGATTTGCATCGATTAATCGGGACGGAGCCGATAGTTTGTTTTCAATTGATCCACGTTCTCAGATGATTTTATCTTTACTCGATTAATCGATGTTCCATGATTTTTTCTCATCAACATCGGCAACCGATTTTTATTTTCTTTTAAATAGAGGATATTCTTGTAATACCATTTTTCAGATACGGTAAACGAGATTCATCAAGTCCGGATCTATAATAGGTACAGTAAGCTTCAAGTCTTAAGAACTTGACTAACCGCAGTCAGTTATTCTTGTGAAAGTAAGTTGGGGTTGGTTAATTTCTTCAGGTTCAAAGTTTACTACATCTGTTGTACAGTCATGGACAATAGGGTTGCCCGGTTTTTACTGATAAGTTTCGGAACGTTGCCGAATGGCCCAATGAGAGTACTTATCTTCCCAAAATTAGTCCTCTTACCACATGGAAAATACCACATGGAAAATAATCAAATGAGATGCCGAGTTAAAGGCATTCGCACACTGACGCGATTAGTGACGAACAATAAGCGATATCTAATGAGAGTTCCGTCTTAAAGAAGAAATGAAAGCTTCTTCTTCTTAAAACAGAACTCTCATTAGATATCGCTCATAGCACGTCGCTAGCCGCGTCCAGAGTGCAAGATCCTTTAGGATAGTAATACTGAGAATATCACGGGCGTCATTCCATCCTTGTTTAACATTCAGCGAAAAAGAAGGTCTGAATAACGCCGGCTACATCTGTCGCAAATTTAAAAACGCATCCAACGCGTAAGCAAGGAGCGCATCCGAGTGATGTTTCCGAACGCACCCCTAGCAATGTTTAGCAATCTGGTGCTAACCAATTTAAATGTTTTACCTTGCAAATTAATTGAAGATTTACTCGATTTAAATTTAATTGATTAAAATTAAATCGATCGATTGGCGAAATCGATGTTTTTTTTTTTTCTTTTAGAAAATCGATGCCATTTCCATTTTTCTTTATTAATCGATATTTTAAACATCGATGTATCTTCGCCCATCTCTAATTCCGAACGTCGCTTCGCGCGGCGCGAAATGGCCAGGGAGGAATTCTCTCGGCCGCGAGGTCATCCTGGAAGTCGTCCGGCGGGAGAATCAACGAGATCGAGGTAGCGCTCGAATGGGCGATAACGATAACGCGTTACTTCGCGACAGTAAGTTTTCCGAGCCGGGTGGCCGGAATACGGTAAAACTATTCCGAGTAGGCCGAGTATATCGACGATAACGTTGCCGTGTGACTGTTACGCTATCGTTCGGAATTCGGGGAGATACGAGCGCGCTCGGCCGCGATAGAGAGCAAGGAGCCTGCTTTTATGCTCCTCGTGTTCGCGTAGAAGTTGTAAGCGGCGCGTCGTCGCCGCCGCTTCAATATGGCGCCGCGCACAGAGCGGAGCTAGAAGATTGATCGAATCAACGCGCGACGGCGCGGCGGGCGAGCCGCAGGCTTGAGCGTCCGCTCGAGGGGACGGGAGTTTCTGCTTCGGAGGATCGGAAGGATCCGCTTCCTCCTGCCGAATTTATATTCGCGTTCGCTCCGCTCGTCGATTCACGTCGATTCGAGCGAGCTCTCCTCCGTCTCAACGCGTCAACGCGCGCATCATGGCGACGAGATATTCGCGCGGGAGCTTTTATTTTTCTACTTCTCCGTCTCGTCGTGGATTTCGTCGTGAATTTCTGCGGAGACAGGAGTCGCGCGCGCGCGGGAACAGGAGAACGCTGCGAGCGACAAACTAATTGTATAAATAAACGGAGGTCAATTGCAATAAGATGTAATTCTAGATAATACAATAGTTAAGGGTGCTCTCTCTCTCTCTCTCTCTCTCTCTCTCTCTCTCTCTCTCTCTCTCTCTCTCTCTCTCTCTCTCTCTCTCTCTCTCTCTCTCTCTCCCTCTCTCTCTCTCTCTCTCTCGGCTAAAATTAATTACATTTTACTTAACTAATTACTAAATTCTTAGAAAAAACTAGAAAGAAGGATCTTTCCGCAAGAAGGAATTCTTCGAAAAAAAAAAGTCTTTACTTCCTTCGATATTGTCGCCGCGTTTCATTGTTTCGTTGCTCTTTGTGTTTCCTCATGTCAGCGCAGCTGGCATTCCGAGTTGCCGGAACAAATGTTCGTGCCAGCTGTGCTGGCATTCCGAGTGCAAAGGGTGAAGGCTCGATCTATTAATCTGAGTGGTCGATCCGTTGGGTTTTACGAAAGCGCAAACTTCCAATCACACTCGGTGGACATGCAGAAGTGAAAGTCGCGGCCGGAGAGTCATAGTACTGAAGTCTGAATGACCGAAGCGACACCTCGAAATACAATTTTCCTTGAAAACAATGCACAGATGAATTCATACGTACCCGCTTGAGCCCACTCGGGCTGTACTCAAATGGATATCGGGACAATTCCGGGATATTTCGGGTCAATCGGGGAAATTGATTTCGGAAGATTGTCTCGATATCTCCCGTGACCTCCCGGGAAATCCCCCTTCTGAATTTCGACACATTTTGTTTCGTTACGATTGGGACTGCCGGACGTCCGGATTGAACGTCCTGCTGCCCAAATAAAATCATCAAATTAAATCACGCGTATTCCTTATCCACTGATATATATATATATATACTTTCACAAACTACATTCTCAGTGGTTTTCCTCCCGGTAGATTTGTCAGTTTCCAAATCTGGCGAGCCTCTAGGAGCCCTGCGTGTCCATCAGAGGCCATCACTGTCAAGCGCATACGTCGAACCGATGTCACGAATTCAATCGTTAGGGATTGCGTTCTCTCTCTGTGAGGGCTTCTTCTCATTGGCAAAGTTCCAAGAAAACAAAAAGACAGCTGATTCACCTGACTTCTGATTGTAGTCATCGCATCGTTCCCGTCAACGGGACGGAACTTCGGCTTTGGAGAGCAAAACCGTCAAGTGGACGCTCGGTCTAAAACGCGGCGCGAGTTTGTCGAGTAGCGAAAATAGAGAGAGTTTGCGTGGAACGCTAGCAATGTCGGGCGTTTGAGGCTTATATTGTCGGCTGCAAACAGCGGCGCAGCT